TAAAAGCTAAATACCCACGCGTTGTTACTAAGATCAGACATGAACTACTTGAAACTTCCCTGTCATGCAATACATCATGTTGCTTGTATCCCTTCCTAACTTCACAACAAAATGTACAACCCCCCAGGCCAGGCCAACGTTATGGAGACGCAGCAGGAGCCCCTCGGCCAGAAGAGCAGCCGCCAGGATGGGGATGAGGGAGATGATGGGGACTACAGCGGGGAGGACGAGGGCGAGGGCAGGGAAGACGAGGGCGAGGGCGGGGAGGACGAGGGCGAGGGCGAGTGCGCGGAGGATGAGGGCGGGGAGGATGAGGGTGGGGAGGACGGGGACTGGCCGTACGAGAGCGGGGATTACATGGGCGGGGAGGACGAGGACTGGGAGGACAAGGGAGGGGAGGATGAGGGAGGGGAGGACGAGGGAGGGGAGGAGGACGAGGGGACGGGGGGCAAAGTCCTGCTCGAGGAGTACGGCAGAAGCAAGAGCCAGAAGGTCCACAGCAAGTCCGCGCCTCAACCAACTGGGCGCCGCAAGGTCCTGGTGACCGGAAAACATGACAAAGGTAAATTGTAGCTTTAACATGACAATAAATTATGACTACACACGGAACTTACTAACAACAAGGCAATAAATTACGACTTCATATGAAAATTAATTTATTAATCACTCTCACTTTTTGTAGGGGCATTGGATGCCAGAGGGCGGCCCACGCGCCTGAGGCAACCCTCGGCGAAGGCGCGGGAGAGCCAAGAAACGGTGGGCATGGTGGTGCCTGCACGAACCAAGCGTCCACGCCCTAAGGAAACCCCACTGGTGTTGCCGGAGGACCCTTCGGCTTTCGGGGCAACAGCGTCAAACCCCGCAGAGAGGAAGGAAGCGTTTGGTGTCGGTAAAGGCCGAGCTGTACAGACCCGCGGGGCTAAGGTGCAGCAGGAGAAGGGCAAGAAGGCCATGGCAGAGATTCGGAAGGGGGGACTGAAGAAGCAGCGGAGGTAGCAGACCGCGGGCAGTGATCAGGAACCTGGAGGGCGCCTTGTCACGACATTTTAGCGTCATGTTCATTTTACCGTCTTTTATAATCGTCTTTTATAGTCTGCCGTACGCACGTGCACGTGCGAACAAAACACGTGTTTTGTTCGGTGCTACAGTCGTATGACACGACAGCCTGCAGTTTCAAGTGATTCTTAATGTTGACTAAAGAAGGGCCTATAGTCCTCGTGGTACCGATTGAGAGATGTGAGCAGGTTGTAGTAGGCCATTGGGCAATGCTTTGTGTAGGATAATATGAACCCGCTATGAAGCTGGTAATCGCTGTTTAATGCGTAAGAGTTTGGTCGGTTAACGTCCTGATAATATCTATGTTATTGCCCCATTACCGGGGACATTCTTGTAACTGGCCGCCTGATAAAGGACCTGGTAAACACCCGATAATGCTGCCTGATTACCGGGTAACTTGTAACTGGCCGCCCGATAAACGACCCTGGTAAACCACCCTGGTAATGGAGCCTGATTACGGGTAACTGGCCGATTAACGACCCTAGCCCGTTAACAGCCCAGTAACCTTATAGCCTGGTAATCGAGGCCGGTTACCAGGCGTTCCCATTATCGGGCCAATAACATGCGGTAGGGCTTCAGAGGACGAACGTATAAAGTCAGACAACTGACGGACCAATGTTCGCTGACGCTAACTTGTTGACGTCAGGCAGCACTCAAGTGACGAGCTTATTGGAGACCACCCAGTTGACGCATCGATGTCCTAGTTAGCCAAATTCGGCGGCGGCTTGTCGAGGCTTTCCTGCCTGGGAATTACCGATGGCACCAGCTAGCCATGAATTTATGTCGCTCCGTGTGCATCTTCAAGCAGATTCAGGTAGGACATGCGTTCTTAAATGGTTGACTTTCTTAGGAGGGTATGTGTTTAGTGAACAAGATAGAATTTGAATCTCGCCGCTGAAAAATGGAGAATGCAACTCGATGCCGAATAAAATTAATTATATGCCGATGCAAGCATGTCCTAGCACGAGGAACAACAGGGGAACCCCGTTGCGCCCAGTGTGTAACCTGCATGCCAGTTTCCGATGATCGATGTGTCGACGTGGTGCCGTGCGGTGCCCTGCGGTTCGCAGTAGTGCACCAGCAGTAGCAAGCCCTCAGTCGCGGCGATGGGCTTGAGCTGGTATTTTATAGCTGTGCCAGTGAGAGCATGAGCTTACGGGTGCCAAAACCTAACCGCAAGTGCAGTTTTGCAGCAGCAGCAGCAGCAGCAGCCACGTTAACCATTAACGTTTTTCGACTCCCGTTACACAGTACTTGCAGCAGCAACCACCTTGGCAACTCCCCCCTCCCTTTAAACTACTTACAATCCACTCGTATCGTCAATCCTACACCATAACGTAATTACCAAAACTTCACTTATCACGGTCTGGTGGATCTTTCCTAAAATATCCCTCGTATCCCTTAAGACTCTAAAGTCTGAGCTTCACCGTCACACCTTCCTGTAACGACTATACCCCCTATCCCCACCTTATTCCAAACATCCCTTCACATTCTGACATTACGTAATAACTAACTAACTCTGTAACAAACTCAACCGTCTCACTGCTATTCCCTTACGAAAGCCTCGGCGATACCCTTTTTTTCTTTTTTCACTTTTTCTTAACTACCATATCACCTTTCCAACAACTCGCCAACGGCAAAAGCCAGCAACACAATAACTCCCAATCCACTATATGCGCCAGGCATACAGACTATCTCCCCTCAACCCAACACAAAAAACCCAACGCCTACAAAAATATTCCTTTCAACAAAAGTATACTACGCCCAAACCGACACTTCGCACCTCCCGCCGGCGATACAACTCACTCCAGGGAACCACACCCTCTCGCAACGAACACTCGATTTAAAGAAGCGCGCTCCATTTAATACATATACTGATATCTCGTTCACCATTTATTCCCAAACTCGCTCAATCGCGCCTATAACACCGAACGCCGTCATACCTATAGCCACACCTATAGCCCACACCTTTCACATCAAATACCACCACTCTTCAGTATCCTCATCTACAACAACTTATCTTTATTCCCTATAATCCACAAAGACCTACAATCTTCGCGCGGTGCTATCTTGCACAACGCCACCGTTCGAACCTCATCATCGCCCACCAACAGTAAGTCCTCCCCAGCCGTCCGCCTTTCCTTTTCCTCGCAAATAATCCATCGCAACACAACTAGTTTTCAATTCAAACCTCCGTGATTGCTCGTCGAGTACCCATATCTTACATACCCGCCATGCCAACTCGTAACTGCTCATAAACCTCCAAACCAGGCTCCTACACCCACTGCAATTGACTTTACAACTCACTATCATTACGTTTTTCATTCAGGCTCTTCCTCGCTCACCACTTGACAACCACCATCGATTGGACTAAAACCGCTCTGCGAACACCAACTACCACCACCAAACTTCTTCACCACTGGTACAGTTCGCCCACTACGGTCACTTTACGTTTTCTACATCTCAGGGGGCTCTTAGCATAGCAAAGCACCTAAACTTAGCGCAAGAGTCACCTGATGAGGCCCTGGCAAGGCCGAAACGCGTCGTGACGTGCCTTGCTAAATATAGCTTCAGCGGCTTTCTTTAGGTCAGCTTGCACTCGCTTAGCAGCCCATCTAGTTCTCTTCCCGCTACAACTAGATTTCCTTTTTTCACTACCTTCCTCGCACTACACCTATAAAACTCTCAGCTTAGACCAAACCCCTCCCGGCACTTATTTTTCCTTAACACTCCTCACCTCAGCCAAAACTCCACCTCTAGATTTTTACATCTCACCCATACGCAAAAACTACTTCCAAGCCCTCCACGCACAACATACCTTCGATAAATTATACTCGTCGCTTTTTATCCCCTCAGTCTAAACCTTCCAAACCTCTCTCACAAAACTTACCTATTTCTCAACCCTAGCTAATCACCCCTAAAACAGACTCTATAACACATACCTCTCTTTCCAGCTTCTCCTCTTTAGTTTTTCGATTCTTTTCGACTAATACGACCTTCTAACTCATTACTTTAACTCTAACCTTTAACTTTTACTTTTTACTTTTACCTTTAATCTACACCTCCGATTTTCTTAAAAGTTTTTCCTGATCCTAAAAAGTTTTTTTATGAATTTCTAAAAAGTTTTTTAAGTTTTCCAGAACTTCACAAGTAATTAAGTTAAAATAATTTTTCTTTTTTCTTTTTACCAAAAATAAAAAAATTAAAGATTTTTGCACTAACGAAGGGTTGACCTAAGTACCATCTACCAGCAGCAGCGGCGGCGGCGGCAGCAGCAGCGGCGGCGGCGGCGGCGGCGGTGGCGGCGGCAGGTGTCCAAGCAGACAACGGGACAGTGGGGAGCAAAGTAAGGCAAATGCTGCTTTGCTGTGGGAAAGGTGTCAACCTAGAAAGTGACGCAAAATCAAATACATGGAAACTGCATTTCGTACATTGCATAGCTAATTCCTCCGGCTCCTCTGATACAAAGAGGGATGTTTTCATCCCACGAAACGGACAAGTTTCAACTTGCGAAATGGACCGGTAGTGCGCATGCTCAGCCGGTGTCGACCGTGTTCGTTCTGCATTGTATCGAGGGCTCTCTAACACCCTTCACCAATCCATTAGGATGCAATCATTACAAGGGGGACAGGGAACCAACCCTCATCGCTAGCCGGACGTGCTATCGCGGTTGACAAAAGAATCAACCTACCACAGGGCACATACCCCCATCAAAAAGCAGTGAGCCGTGCATTTGCAAGTACCAAAGTCCACAAATTCCCATGCCATAAAACAAAACAGAGGTACAGCGGGTACCCGGACTTACGGACATGGTGCAAGGACAAGAGGGACAAGGAGCTCTTGCCGGCAGCAATGCCGTACGTGGCGCCGTACCAGCGAGCAAACCCGATTGCCGCCAGTGATCAGACCGAACCGAATGATGATATCTTGTAGAGGGTAGGAGGAGTGGATACCACAACATCGAGCAGGGCAGGGAGGGAAGGAAAGATGCAACATGAAACAGACAGAGGCCGACTACCGCCGCAGCAACGAAGCTGGCGCCCGGGCAGATGACACCCCCCCCCTTTACCCACCATCTACAACGGGGCCTAACCTTAGGGCTGTCCTGTACGTACGCGTGCTCACGGACGAAACACGCGCACACATATTCAGCCATGCCGAGGCTGATGGCCTTTGCCAGCAGCTCCTTGCAAGTGTTTTCGGTCAAGAAGCCCATGCTGAATTCGAGCACCAATCGATTGAGCACGTCCACTCGGATCTTGAAGCGCCTTCTAATAAACAGGTTCTACATGCTCTCCAGGCTGAGCACCTCGGTGTTTTGTAGGCCTTGATACTGCGTGGCTTTGTTGAATACATCGAATCTATTACTATTATACTTTGTGCTCGCAAATCTCCGGAGCGTAACTCTATCGTCCACAGCGCATCCTAATGCTTATAGGCGATCTGGCAGCCCTTGAGCCCTCGGCTCGTACTAGGGCAGTTTGCAGGTACGGGGAGCACATCCACGACCATACACATCCTAATGCCGGGGCAAACATAGATAACAAACTAAACTTCGTTCTGGCCGAGGCAGCGCGTCGAGGATACGACACCTCGAGCACAACTTCTCGACGCGGCCGACTTACATAAATAAGGCAACTCACGCACAGTTACAACACTGAATAACAATTTTGTCTCATAAATGTATAGATAATGAGTTATAGTTGATAAGATGGAGCTGCCTATAATTGCTTAAACCGTAACGGCTGCAACCTTCACGCTGTAGCTTCCCTGCGACGAGCCGCAACTGGAGGTCGCGTCGTGACCTGTCCAGTTACACCAGGCCCCCAAAGAACAACTCCATGGAAAAACATAGATAAATTTTCTTTCCCAAATGTTTGAATAACTTAGGTAGCCTATTCCAGAACAGTACTTCACCTCTTGGCGGAAAGCAGCGCCAAGCCAGCGCACTTTGCGGCACGGAAGGCCAGAGGGCACAGACAGCGGTATGAAGCAGGGTGCAAATAGGAGCCTCTTAGACGGGATCAGTGAGCTCTTCGGCTCAAATCAAGACTCCGATTGCGTGATCGTCTTCTGTCAAGACACGAGCGCGCCAGCAGCAGAGCAAGCCAAGCAGGCCAGCAGTCGGAAAGCCTCGCCAGGTGCCGCGCAATCGCGTGTTGCCGAGAGCCTGATGTTCGGTGAGCCACTACCAGCTCATCGGCTGGTTCTGCGCCTTGCATCAGAGAGATTTGCTGCTCAGGTAAGCCTAGAACGACAGGGACAGACGGACAGACCGCCTTGCTTTTCCCTCTGCTTCCGGTCAAGTGCAACGGGTGCATCTTTAGCTGGGGAGGCAGACCAAAAATAAATTTGCGTGCCAGTACGCTGGCTTATCTCTTATGCAAGCTACCAGGTACCGGTTCCGCATGAGCGCGGGAGAGTCCGGAAAAGCCGGGATGCTGATTAGAGGATTAGGACCACTTTGCATCCCTCTGGATGCTGTGGGCGTGAAAGGGCTGAGCTCCTGCATATGCTTATGCTGACATTTAAAATGATAATTATCCTCCTGTGTGATCCGTCTACGAACATAATTTTCTTCGCATAAAGAAATTGAGCTCCGTGGTGCCGTGGTTTTCCATGCAGCTGCAACGCTGGTCCGACAACACCATACCTGGTCCTACCCGCACCGATCAGAATCCTGCATGGAAGCCGGGGAAGCCAGATTCCTCATCTACAGCAGGCCCTGTCGACAGTCGCCCATCCCTGCGCATTCCGCTCGGGAGCGAGGATGAGCTGCCGAGCGCCCGCGCCGCCATCCAGTTCGCATACACCGGTGAAGTCTCGACAACAACAAGCAGCGTCCGTGAAATTCTGGGGGTGCGACGGCAGGCTGGGTATCTACAAATTAGCGGCTGTGCGGCCGCCTGCGATGAGGCACTGCGGAAGAAGATCGGAACCGATCATCACATTACAAAAGGTGCCGCCGCCGCTGCTACCGCCGCTGTCACGGTACAGCGCCAGGAACAACATCGTGCCATGCTGGAGCTGCTAGAGTGCCAGGACCTGTGGCCGGACCTTGAAGTGGAGCCAACCTTCGCTGCCATTCTTCGCTGTGTTCGACCTCACCTCGTTTGCAGCTTTCGGGATGCACCGACAGTCCTGAACAACTCATCCCTGAAGCAGCACTTCCTGGAGCTGCCCGCGGTAGCCCTTGTGGAATTGCTGTCGTCCAGCGACTTCGGAACGGACAGCGAGTCCACCATCCTGCTGTTGCTGGCGGTCTGGATGGAACGCAACTACGACCGCACAGATGCGAAGACCCGAGAACGGTTGTGTCGTGCTGTACGACTGGGCCATCTGAGCCGGCCGTACCTCAGCCTGGTACTGCCTGCCCTGGCGGCGGACTATGAGCGCCTGGGGCCCTCACAGGAAGCGTGGTTCCCGCTAAATATCATGGAGGCAGCTTTTGTGTCCAACTTCGCCAGTACACCCGAGAACGAACGGGTCCGACTGCTTCCCCACAGGTTGCTTCGAGATGACCGTTGGATGTTGAGTTCGTTGGCGGCCAGGCCCAGAAGGAAGTGTATCACCGAGTCTTGGAGCCCCAACGCCACGTTTAGATGGCACATCAAGATGCAGGACCTGCAGGACGCTGTACGGCGGATGGACGGTGGGCGCACAGAGTGTGTTTACGTGACGTTCGACATGCACCACCACCATCACCACCAGCACCATCACCACCAGCAAGACTACTTGGTCGGATTGGGCTTTCACTGGTCGGTCGGCATTCAGCTCATCGATTTGAAGTCGGGTTCGGCGATGGTGTGCCTGTTCTGCAGTCTCCCCCCCACCCTGGCCCCCATTGGGTCCCGGCTGAGCGAGGAGGAGGCCGGCGACCTGCTGCCGGCCGTCGTCCCCATCTCTGCTCTACTGGTAGTGCACAGCCCCAATTCACGGGGGGAGTTTCGGGCGGTGTTTGACGCGGTTGAGGTGGGTAGCGGCGCGGGTTATGACCTCCCCCTACGGGGCCAGGAGGACATGCAATTTGATAACTCGCAGTGGCTGCCGCAGCCGCCCCCTCGGTGGGGACAGCAGCAGCAGCAGCAACAGCAGGAGCACCGGCAAAACATGCACCAGCCTCCGGCTTCAGGCCGCGACAGGGCACATAAAGCAGCAGCAGCAGCAACAGCAGCAGCAGCAACAGCAATTGACGCAATGACGTCTGCGTTTGCTGACTACCTGCATGACGGCAAGATCAGCGGAACCTTGACATTGCTGGGACCCGCACTTCTGCTGATGTAGCGAATAAGAGCATTGACAAGTGAGCTTTCAGCCGCGATACGTGCTGCGCTGTGTCTGTCGCTCGACGTGTGCGGTTTCACCTTGCATCAGCTGGGCGATTTGCCCACGTATTTGCTGCTGCTGCTGCTGCTTCTTGCATCGATGAGCTTGATTTGTGTGAGTTTGTTATGTCAGCCGGCGGCTTTGGTTAATGTTGGGATCGTTAGGCCACGGCTTTCCTAGCTTGCCCTGCTAGTTCGCCTACGCAGACTTCTGTGACGGGCAAACTCGTGCTCGTGTGGGCATGTTGCATGCTCTTCAACGGGCAGCAAATTACTAGAATTTGCCGTGATTTGCGTGATATGGTGTACGCGCAAGGAGCTCGCGTCTACGGAATATGCGGCACAGGGAGGATGTCGACTGCTTTAGGTGTGAAGCAAGTTTTGTTGGAGCATTCGGCAGAATATGCTCCGTGGCATTGCTAACTTGTAACTTGCGTAACGTGAAACTTGCAACTTGCTAGCGTCGTGCCCGTCCATACACCTTTCCGCGGTAGCTGTTTTCGTACGGCAAGGCATGCGGCTGATGGTGGTTGCCGGGGGGGATATCGCCCATCATTTAGACGGACAAGCTTTAGCTCCCTTGCGGGGATTGTAGCAGCGGATGAGAGCTAGTGTGATTACATAGATATACAGCAAGTGAAGAGCTCGAACAGTGACAGCAAAACAAGCCCTAGACTACCGGCTTTCCAGTGCTTTGCGTGCAGTAGCCCTTGAGCCCTCGGCTCGTACTGGGCGGTCTGCAGGTGCGGGCTACGCACTCCACGGCCATGTAACACACACACACAATCATATATATATATATATGTATATGTATATATATGTATATGTATATATATATGTATATGTATATATATGGGTGTGCATATGGATGTGTACATCTGGGCATATAGAGGTTAGTAACCCCCCAGTAATCTATCCATGCCTCCTCTGACTTAAGAGTAGTGATTGCGATGCGCACCTCGCTGTCCCACCCCACCACATCAGGTCGACTACAGGCCCTTCATGCAAAGGTAGTCAGCGGGATACGGGCCATTCAACGAGCGCATGGAGACTACTCCATGCGTTTACATTTCGTTACTTGTGACCATCCAAATAAAACTCTTCATTGTTGAAGCGGTTTCACGGTTCGACGGCATTCTGGGCACTATGCTGGCATCTGGCTGAAGGCGCCTGGGCTGGAATTTCCGGACGATGTTGCGTGCCGTGGAATGCCTATAGTAGTTGCCTGGACGCAGGTTCCTGACTCCTAAGCTCTATCTATCCATCTATCCACCTGTCCATCTATCTATTTATCTATCTATATATCCATGTATCCACATATATCAATTAATCTATTCATATTCTATTCAACTATTCATATTCTATCTATTAATCGCTCAGTTCATCTTCGATTTATCAATTCATATATTCATCGTCTATTGAAAGCTATTCAGCTACAGCTCACACCACGGCAGTCGCAGCCGCGGCCGCGGCATTCGGGAGCATTTAAAAGTCCACGGGTCTACCCCCGCCGCGGCTGCCGTTGCCTCCGCCAACCGCATGTCCTCTTCCGAGGGCGGCACCAGCCGCGCCACCTCCAGTCGGTGCTGCTGTGGACCCTGGTACGGCACCCCGTACGACGACCGGCCTTCCGGCAGCACCCCGCCAAGGGACGTATACGACAAAGTGTGACCCAGTAGGGGCATGGCCCGGATCATGATGCAGCGAGCCATGAGGTCCTTGGAGAGGCCAGGGCTGCACGGGGTTCGTACACAGGCGACGGACCCACGGTGTTGCCCACGGCGACGCCAGCTCTTCGTCGTATCATCGGCGGGCTCCTCCAGTCCCTCCTTGCGCTGCTGGGGCTGCTGCCGCTGTGGCCATCGATACCGCGGCGGCGGCGACTTGAACTCCCCTTCACCAGAATGGTCGAGCACAGGCCCTTCCGCCCTAACCTTGCCCGCTGCCCCATGCGAACCGGCCCCAGACTTATCAGCATTTTCATAGTCCCGCAAGGTCTCCTCACCCCCAGCTTCTTCCCCCCTCTGCTCGGGCCCCATTCGCTGATCTCTGACAGTTCTGTTAGTGATGCTGCTGTCTGCAAGAGTGTTGCGGCGACCCCGACCGCCGCCGGCACCGCCGCCGCCGCCGCCGCCAGATACGTTTATCGTCGTACCCGGCGGCGGCACCCTCCAGGGCACCAGCGGCGCACAAACGGCGCCGGCGTTCTGTAACGTCCCCTCGCACGACAACAGGACACTCCGCACGCTCCCCCGGATGCCGTACAGGAAGTGTGTAAGGTCAGGCAGTACGGCAGACCAACGCGATCTGGAGACCGCGTCAAGGAAGGCAGCGGTGCCGCAGGCGCTGCCGTCAACGCCTGGTGCGGCTCCGCACTGCACGATTGAGAATGTCGTATAGGACTTCGCTTCGCCGTCGTCGCCATCGGCAGCGTCGCCGCGATGTCGTAGTGCTGCCACCGCTGCCTGACGCACTAGCTCTTGCTGGGAGTCCGGGTTGGAAGCATCCACTAAAAATACCAAATGGTGAAGTCCCTCTTGGGCATGATGGGCCGACCAGAGCCGTACCGCCACCGCCAGCGGCGCTAGCTCGAGATCTCCGTTGCCATCGCCGCCGTCGCCGTCGCCGCTACTGCCGTTTGCCATGCCGTACACTAGCTCCGCCTCTGCCGTCGTCAAAGGTCGCACGTGAACGGCTAGCAAACTATGATAGTACGGCACAGATGGATTGTCGTACGAAGCCAGGTGCTCGTCGGCAAGGCGCAGCAAGCGACCCACGGGCCATGATGCCGGCGGCCGCCCGGGCGATGTTAGCACAGCATTGAGCTCAACACGGCCGGTTTCGCGGCTGGGCATTTTTTCGTACACGAGGTCCGGCACTGAGTACCAAGCACACAGCCCCCGAAGATCATCCACGGAGATATTGTTGCCGTACAGGGCTAGCGGCGGCGGCGGCGGTAGCACAGGTATGGCGTTGCCGTCGTAGCCGCCGCCGCCGTCGCCGAGTAAAGCACGGCAGTCCGCGTCTAGCCGGCTACGCGCCGCCGTGAGTCGTACCGCCGCGCCCATAACGGCCGACGCCGCCTCCGCACCGTACAGCTGCAGCCGCGCCACCATCTGTCCGTACGCAGCACCGTACAGGATGGCATCGATACTGTTGACCGCGGCGATGCGGTCAACAAGCGCCGGATCCTCCTCCGCCAGCTGGGCCATCGTGGGACGAGCATGCAACGTCACGTTGCCGTACCTGAGGCCACCACGGCAACGAGTCCTCAACACCGCGAGATGCCTTAGCCGGGGTCATCGAACCGAAAACCGAAAACTGCAAACCGAAACCGCCTGGCGAAATGGGAACGAGTGAGGGGGCGCGGCATGTTCCCTGCAACCCCGGGACACGCTAGCGACATAGCCGGCTAATACCGTACTAATGCCGTAAGGTCATGTCCTACGAAGCGCATGTGTGTTTTAAGCTTGGCGCTCAGATTTATATCTCAGCCAAACCCGCCCGGTCCTTTGTTCAACCCTGAAATCCTAAGGCCCTCTACGACCCACTCCTCTACAGACCACACCTTGCACCGCGTCCTCTCGCACCCTCTCCTCCCCCCCCTTAACCCCCCTGGAGGCTCACCGCTCAGCTCCCCCCTTATTCTTATTTGTGGCCAGGTACATGATCCGGCTCAGGCCCCAGTTGCAGTGGGTGGCCAGGAGGGCTAATCCGTAATCCAATAGCTCCAGGGGGAGAAACAGGCCTGAAGGGAATTGGTTGGGAGTTGGTTGGGAGTTGGTTGGGAGTTGGTGCACAGCAGGTAGGGACGCAATGGAAGCCACTCTATCGCATGCTCGTCGTCACGCTCCTCCTCACTCCCCCCCAAGCGGACCGAAGAGCCCCCAGCACAGCGCATGTCCCACACGTCACTCACCATGTTTCCAACCAACCAACCACACACACACACACACCGTATTCCACCAGATACACGCACCGTACCCCACGCCAGACACACGCACCGCACCATCCGTATGCATCTCCCCCGCCACGAACTCCAGTGCCGCCGCCGCGTCCTTGACCGCGAACTCCCGAGCCATGCGGTTGCCGCCCTCACTCGCGGCGGCGTACTGCCGCAGCGTCAGGGGCCGTTGGGCCTTACGTGCGTCGGGCTCCACGAAGTAGTAGAAGTCGCTGATGTAGCTGCGGTTCGCCGGTGTTGTGGGGCGAGCAGGTAGCCGGACGGATGTCATGTTGTTGGGGTTGAGCACGGGAGGCAAGAAACTCCGGAGGGGAACCAAAACGTGTTCTTCAGAGGGCGACGGGCGAGTAATCTCAACTTGGAGGATGGTGAGGGCGGGTGATGGATCATGAATCCATGAATGCTTGGGTGACTCGGTGCTCATGCGTTATTTGAGCTTCAGTGCTTGGTGCGTGGATTGCGGGGCGGAAACCAGGTGGGAGTGGTAAGGAAACCGTGAATTAACCAGGTCGAGATTCACACACATCGGCACACACATCGGCACACACACACCCTCCCGCTGCGCCGCCCTTCCGCACGCATACACACATAGCCGCATCCAAACATATCCGAACCCATCCGCATCCGCAAATGCAAGCATTGGGGTTGATCCCCCAAACATGACAGGATGGGGCCTTATGCCACCGGGTGAGCCGTGGTGCCGGAATGATGTTGGATGGGGCGATGGGGGATGGTGTATAGAAATCCTGGATGGTGGGGGTTCGACGGGACAAGGGCATGCGACGCACCGGTCCACAGGATGACGCAGCACTGTAAGGAAGCCGTACTCTGCCGTACCAAGCGCCCTGCCGTAGAAGCTACGCGTGGCTGCGTGGAAGCCAGGCGTACCAGAGTAGCGGATGTGGTGAAGCACCATGTTGACCCGCCCTAGAAGCTGTTCGTTCTCTTTAAAGCCGAGGCTCACGTAGTGGGAGCTGCGCGTGGTGTAGAGCGACATGTTGGAGGCCACGGCGACGCGGAAAAGGATGCCGCCTATTGTTGTGGAGCCAGTTTTGTGGGTCTGCAGAAGCCGGGGAGATTTGAACAGAGAAGCTAACACACACGGGAGAGAGATAGGGTGCCGTGAAATTTTCAACTGCCAGGACCTTCGTGACCGATAATGGACAAAATGCTAAATCACATTGTATTTACCTTGAAGAATGCGATCTTTTTGCAGTTAAAGTGCGGTAAGAAAGCTGTGCGACTTTCTTGGCAGAGCCCACTGACCAAGAACAGCAGGAATACAAATCCAAACGACTTCATGTTAAAAGTTTGAATGGGCTTAAAAGAAAGAAAGTGTTAGTGCATAGCCCGCCTAGAACGACCGCTGCAAGCTTTGCAACAGTCTGCATCTCGGCATCTCAAACAAACGGCGAGTCTCATCAAGCAAGGGGGTTAAGAAACTGAAAAAATGAGCATATGCCCCGAACCCTTGTTATGATTTAGGGCTGTCTAAATCTTTTTCATATACCGAATGTACGGATCCGGCAATTTTTTGTAGGCAAAGATGGGTTGGTGGGGTCTGTATTCTTGTCGCAAATCTGATCGCATGTCTGGTTGTATCTCTGACGGATATCAGTTGAGGGGTGACACATGTTTGCTGAACAGTACGGCCGGTACAAAAACCTTTCCTGCTAATTTCCTTATGTACCATGTCGCGATTTCCCATGCAAATCCATTCACTTGTGTCCGGAAACTGAACCAGAACTCGGAACCCAGATACGGGGAAGCTTTGAGATATTGGGATTACAGACATGGGTGTGAGCAGCCCGAAGCAGGCCATGCAGCCAATTATGGCCGCACGGTGCATCGGCTATCCGCCGAACAGGCACATCATTACTTTGTCTTCCAAAACTCTTCTCAGCTGTAAAGGTCCACTCCGCTCAACACGTCGAGTGTAATTAGTACCTCTCGCTCCGCTCCAACAGGGCTTCGACCCAATCCACCGGAGTAACACGCACCCAAAAATGGAAACTCCTGTCCAATTCCCGACAGGCAACCTACAAGCGACCTGCACCTACGAGCGCATGGGCCACCTGCTTTACTCTGACGGTTCTGTCTGTCACACGCGCACTGGGGACGATGACAAGCATCGCGAGGGCAAAGGGAAAAATTTGCCCCCGGCAATGTGGCCAGACCAACTGGGTAATCCGCCTCGCTCTTCATTCCAGGCTGCGCATCACAAGCTGCTGGGCAGCCTCTCACGCCACAGACCGGCCCGAGCTGGCTATGACCCATCTGGCGGCTTACGCCCACCAGGGCTCCAGGCCAGTGCGGAAGTCAGTCTCCGACCAAGTGGAGAAGGTGACCAGGCCGTCCTCCTGGACGTCGCAGTGCGCCAGGGCCAAAGACTGCGGGAGGGAACGAAGAAGGATCAAGGAGAGGAGACATGTGATAAGGGCAAATAAGGCTGGAAATTTGTCCATGCGCGTCATAATGACGTGAACACGAAGAAGTCCATGGTAAGGAGGGCAAGAGGGTAGTCCGAGAAAGAAAAACGGATTGAGACATACATCATTCAAGCTAGAGAACGTGAATGCCAACCCCTCCCACGTAACGCGTTAGGGTAAAATGCGCATGTGTGCAAACTGATAAAGGAACCACTGTATTTGCACCAAAAGTTGTCAGAAGCATGCCACTTTCAGATAACTGCTAGGACGGAGTATAAGCATTGTGGGAAACCTCAAGGGGGCAAGATTTCTGGCCAACAATACATATTCAGGTAGGGTGTGGGCGGGGATATCTTACCAGCGGAGCAGGGCCACGGACCACCTTGCCCTCAGCATTGTACTGAGAGCCGTGGCAAGGGCACTTGAACTTGTTCTCGGCCTACGAATACATCAGATGCAAATGGTTGAGGAAATTCGCACCCAAAGCGGCCTTGAATTCTCAAGGAGACCATGTAAATTGAACTTACCGCCACCCAAGGAACGACACAGCCCAAGTGGGTGCACACGGCGTTCAAACCGTACTTCTCAATCGTGCCATCAGCGGTCACAATCAGGTAGGTCGGGTCACCCTGCAAGCCAATAGAAAGGACACGCAAAGAGCGTTAGATAAAAGTATGTTTGCATCACAGAAGAGCATGACCTAAAACATTGCGGTTCACACCTTCAGACCCTGGCTGAGGGAGCGATCGCCCTTCTGGTGAGTGGCCAGCCAAGCGTTGGCCTTGATGTCATTGCCCAAAGCGTCCTTAGCAGCCTGTCCACCGCTACCACCGCCAGAGCTGTGAAATAAAAGATGCAAGGCCATAGAGATGTTCAGAAGACTCGCGGCATTCAAAGTAGTATTTTCGGGGCTAAAGTGCAAGCACAATCCTCGCACGCTAAGCTGACCACCAACAGACTGAGTGCCAAACAGGTTGACTGCAGAAGCAAGAGCAGAACCTACACAACATCTTAGCTTTTCATATTTGGAGGATCACGCACCTTGGTGGCACGAAGAACGCGCCGTAGCCCAAGGCCAGGGAGCCCACTGGCAAAGAAGCACCGCCCAGCAGGATCAGGTTCATAATGTTACGCTTGTTCATGTCCGGCACCTCAGACGACACGGCCGCAGCGCGCACAACAGACATGACGCGCGAACGGCGGGTCGCCTGCGCCTTGCATGGCGCAGCCGCACGGCGAGAAGTGATCATGGCCATGATAGCAACGGTGGTGAGTGGCTAAGGACGAAGGAAACGCGTCAAGAGCACTGATTGTGAGGAGCGACACAGTCTAAAGTCACCGTCGCTTGGCTGGGAAGGGAGGGCCCTCGAGATGTCTTTGTACGGCACGCGATAAGGCAGTCCTAGTTGTTTGTGAGTTTTGCTTAACATGCTTATAAGTAGCATATCTGCATACATATCTGCATGCGTGCGCCGGTAGTTGTGTCTACATAATTGGCAATAATGATTATGTGGTCGTTGAAGTTTATGAACATTTTACACAATGATCATGGTCTGCTCATGCTTCACGTAGCTATGCGCAATTATGGTACACCCAACGTTTCTCAAGCTCAGCGCACTTCTACAGGTTCCTGTGGGGCTGTGTAGTCTTGGCAAGGGTTGCATCCTTATGCTTGCGATGGATGACTTCGCTTATGCTAGGTTATCGATGTGTTCCACATTTGTATACTTGCCACCGGCGAAGCCAAATGTTCCGCTTACACTTCCGGGGAAGGACATGTGTCATTTTAGTCGTGTCCAACCTAAAAAGCTCTTGTGTTACCCTTATCACTCGTTAGGATTCTCAGCATGGTTGTCCATTTTGGCCTATGTATCCTACTACATGAATGACAATGCTTCCTGGGCCCGAGGCGCAGGTTGGGAAATTTGCATGTTGCCATGCCAGCTTCCCAGTGCTGCAACCTTGGTCACTATAGGGTTGGGCATTACCTTGTAGACTTTCCTGCCTGCTGGTTTATCGGAGCCACTATCCATCACCGTAATTCGGCACCCGGTGTTTGTCAACAGCTCTTTTTGGCATGTGCTTTGTCGTGCAACAAACCCTCTATGGTCGCTCATCAGTACTTATTTATCCGGTGCCGTGTCTGGTGGATATCCCCTATCCGCACAGTAGATGTGACGCTGGTGGCGAGGGGGCCGTGGTGTTCTGATTTGAAGGCAGACTCGGAGTCCAGGGTTAAGGGTTAGCGGATCCGTAGGTGAAGTTATGGCGCCATGCTGACGGTGTTGAACGCCGCCACGACAGTGGCAGCGCCGAAAGGCAGCGTGTGGGGTAGCAGTTGCGGCGATAGCATAAAGCGGAGCAAACCCCATGGGGCGTGCCCTGTGGAGTTTGCGGCCAACAAGGCCAACACAAGGAACCGGATGGGCGGCAAAACGGCACTAAATACGGCGATTGTGGGTACGCCCGGTCTGGAATTGCATGTGTTACCGCCTGCTCGATGCCATCAAACACTTACCGCGCCACAAAATGACCTCCCGTACCATGGTGGTGGTGGTGGAGGCCGTTGCAGCTGGCGCCAGGTCGCCTTTGTCAGCCTCACCATCAGTGCAGCCGTACGGGGCAGGCTCATGAAGACCTCTCCTGCTTTTTCGTGTGCTTGGTGTTCATGTGCACGCCAATGCAGTACGTTGTGTTGCTTGGTGTTGTGCACAGTTTCCTCCACCAGCCATGTCTTCGCCTTCCGAGTGAATTTGCAGAGTTTTCAAATACTAGCAACAAGAAAAACGTGTCTGCGCACGCGCGTCTAAAGCCAGTTGTGTGTCGTGTCGATCACGGACTTGGACGTAGCGCCCGTGTAGTCGCTAGCATTTTGTTTTGTTGGGATGTCCTCCATCTGTGCTGAATGATCAATTTTCTCAGCCTATGACCTGCATTTCCGTAACTGAAGCCCACAGGGACTAACTAAGCTGACTACCCTGGCTGTATGGCTGGGACGAACCACACCTCGCACAGTCTGAGCTCCACCATCAACGGCCCCCACCCCCGACGAAACAATATAATTGGTTCAACTGCGGGTTTTTTATCGTATGGTTCGGGACATCGTTGTTGACGATGGCGCGGTCCCGGTCTCCTTTGGTAGCTATGGCTGAGGGACCAGAGATGCAGGCAGCGGTTCAGGGAGTGGCAAGATTGGAAGCCAACAAAGAAACGAGAAGAGAAAATGCAGAACGGGAGTTTGCAGCAAGAAGCGTATTTGGAAGGGACATGGTAGATGTGCAGAACATCCTCCTGTGCAAGGTTGCTACCGAACAGGCAGCTGTTTGCGGGGACATCGCAACTGGCTTGACATTGACTTGGGGCGAAACTGATTTTGGGGTTCTGGAAGCGTTTGAGCAAGCAAAATCCGGGGGGAGTACTTGAGGAGGACATGTATGCTTCATTTGACTCCGATTATTTGACAAATGAACATGCGTATTTTCTGTGGCAGGAGTGATTACGATGACGCGAATACAAAGGTATTCGCAAATCGCTGAGGTACGACTCTCGGCACGGGACGCAAATCCCGAATGCCCGAATTTGCAGTGAGGGCATGAGTATCACGTATTCATGGGGGGGGCGCCCTCTGAGGATCAACAACACAATAGATGTATTTTATTATATTGAATTTCCGTGCTTCAGTAATTGGAAAGGGTGAACCGGTAGCGAATGCTGTTCGTTCAGTTAACCTATGGCCGCTGCTTGTATCAGTGTGATATCAGTATCAGTGTGATATCAGTATCAGTGTGATATCAGTGAGATACCGAGGAACATTAAATTTTACAGAGCAGAGGCAACGCTCTGAACCGCGCTGAATGGATGAGATTTTACATGGGATTTTACCGCTTTTACATTTCTTGCTACAAGGACGATCTTAGCTCAGTTCATCAGTCCTTGAGAATCATGCTGAGATTATGTACGATATGGATTGCTCGGTTTGCTTCTTGTCCTTATGTTTGGCGTGGCCTTTCATCTGTGCACGGCAACCGGCAACTACAAACCTGCAGATAGACGTGCTGTACTGTTGCCATGCGCAATTCGTACAATAGACTGTACTACGTTGCTCACTCGCTCACCCACCCACGCAACGCACTGCGACAAGAAGCCCTCACCAGTGATAACATGGGCCCCCTCCACCACCGCCCTTCGACAGACACCCCATACAAAACACCCTAGGTCCCCACTAAGGCGGCGGCCGATGTAGCTCACCAGCCCGCAAAAAGCCAAAAACACATGAACACATACGCACTCCAAAACCTAAAAACATACATACGACAGAACAACCTGCTGTTACTCATGCGACGCACCCTTACCAACCCACCTTCAAGCCGGGGCAGATGTCTATACCCATCCAAGCTGACATACATATATACATACATACACACAAGGAGACAACACGAACGAAACCCCACCCCCTATTGGACATCTGCGGGGTAATCTGACCCCGTGTGAACCCCCGACCAGCTCCCCCCGACCAGAGCCTTGAGACCGCCAAGATCCCCCCTCACCGCCTTAGTGGAAGACAACCCCTCAGGCCGTCAGGCGTCAGGTGCAGGAACGAACCCTGTTAGTTAGCATACGGAGGTTGGCGGAAGGCTGTGGCTGACCCAGAGGGCGCCGCCGCCGCTGTCGAGGGCCCCATGTCCCAGCCGGGCGCATCCGCCACTCCCGCCTGCTGCTGCTGCTGCTGTGGCTGCGGCATAGGACCCTGAGGGCCTGCCTGCTGCGGAAGTGGCGAAGGGCCCCAGCCGCCCGGATAATCGTTCAACATCGCTGGCTGCTGCTGCTGCTGCTGCTGCTGAGGATTGTAGCCCTGGGGCGATTCGCGAGGACCAGCCGCCGCCGAGGTTGGCCACTCCTCCACACGCAACGGCCCCCCATTGCCATTGCCGCTGCCGCCAGCGCCGACCAATGTTCCCGGCCATGCCCCGTACTGCTGCTGCTGCTGGGGTACTTGAGGGGTTGGCTGTGGTAGTGGCTGTTGCATAGCCGCCGCCGCCGGGGATGCCCCTGTAGCAGGAGGAGCAGCGGCAGCGGCCATCGGGACCGGGTTGGGGGCCCCGGGAGCTATTGGCGCGGTGGCCCTAGGACCTCCGGGACCTCCGGCGGGCCAGGGGGGTCGCTGAACACCCGGCTGCTGTTGTGGCTGTGGTTGTGGCTGTGGTTGTGGCTGCTGACCCCATGCCTGGCTCTGCCCCGACGGCTGCTGTGGTTGCTGCTGCTGCTGTGGCTGCGGAGACCATTGTTGTTGTTGTTGTTGTTGTTGTTGCGGTGGTAATGGTGATGACGGGTAGCGGCCTTGGGCGCCTGGTGGCTTGGTCGTGGCGGCGGCGGCGACTGGCGGGGAAGGGCCCCCGGCAGCAGGAGCTGGTGCTGCCGTGCCGCGGAAGCGAGGATCGACATTGCCACTGCCGTACCCTCCACTGTACGATGTCGTGGCTGCTTGCTGCCCACCGTACGCCTGTTGCTGCTGCTGTTGTACCTGCTGTTGCTGAGGAGGCATAGATGCGGTGGCGCCGTACATTGCTGCAGGAGCCCCCGGGCGTGCTTGCATCGGGTAGGACGAGGAATTAGCGCTGCTACTGCTGCTTGTTACCGGCGGCAGTGCGTAATAGTTTCCAGATCCCGGCCCTCGCGCCTCCGGCAGTAGCGCCTGCTGCTGGGGCCGCCCCGGCGGCAACACATTAGAGCTGCGCCGCGCACCGCCACTGCCACCATACCCAGGAAGCAACTGCTGCTGACCCCCAGATTGCAGCATCATGTATTCCTCATAGCTACAGCCCGTCTGTGCTTCCCACATCCGTACATCGTTCTGCCACTGCTCGTACGAGTAACCCTGCGGCAGGAAACCAGCAGCCTCGCCGCCACGAGAGCCATCCGCGAGCAAGCCGGCGAGTTGTTGGGCGCCACCGACTCGGCGAAGTAGGCTGCTGAGCAGGCCCTGTTTCTCCTGGTATTGCACGTTGTCGGCGGCCAGGGAGACGACACCGTAGGCGCATTGCCGAATGGCATCTGCGGATACAGCGAGGCGGTCGAAAAAGTCGGCACGCAGGAAGCGCAGACCAAAGTCGTCGAATTCGATCTTGCTGATGGTACCGGTGTCGCGACTGAAGGTCAAGTCTCGGACCTGGATGGATGAGATGGGAAGGTGGTTGCGGGGGTATTTGAAAAGGTTTGGGAGAGTTTAGGGTTTTAGGGTGCGGGGTTGGCAAGTGCAATGGACTAGGACGAAAGGGAGAAAGATGGGAGAAAGAGGGACAAAGGAGATGGGATGGGGTGACTAGGGTGAAAGGGAGGAGAGGGGACAAAGGGTAAGGCCCACAATGAAGGGTTTGAGCGCGGCTGGGCAGGGCCAGGTACGTACCTTGCCCAGGGCCCGGTTGCTCGGCGTGCGGACTTCCCAGCCCAGCAGCTTGGTGAAGCCGAACCGGCTGTCCAGCGGCTGTCGCAGCACTCCGTCTTCCTGGACCAGAACGACATCGCCAACCTGCCTAATCGTCAACAGTGGCACGACGCCAAAAGCACCGTTGCTTTCCAGGTCAAAACAGGTCACTTCAAGACGAGATGTGTCCACCCAGGCCTCGCCCAGCTTGCCCAGTTTCCGGCCAGAGGAGCTTGATATGACATCCTTATCCATGACGTCCGAGAGTTTTATGTAAGGAGATTGCATAGGTTCGATAGGATCGTAGAAGGGTCTCCGCGCCAACGACATCGGTTGCGGCTGGTTCGGCGGCTGACCGCGGCCAAATGACTGGGCATTGCATTTTGTAACATTTCTGGTTCGATGTGCTTGTCGGAATCCCAAAAACCAAGTATGGGCTTGCACTTGGCTGGTCCGCCGCAGAGCAGGTGTTGTTAGCGAAGGCCCTTCCGGGCGCAGAGCGTGCTGGGTGTTTGCAGAACTCAACATCGTACAACAGCAAACTACGCTCATGGCAAGAAAGGCTCAAGACCAACCAGGCACCAAGCGCACGCAAGGCCCTCTCTGGCGGCAACTTCCGAGTATGACAAAAGCGATCTCAACAATCTTACCCTAATCCACCATGGTACATGCTAATTACTTGAGCTTATATTTAAAGACAGTACAATGCTTAAATTCAACGGTGCTGTTGTCAGGCAAGTTCCTAGAGAAGCATGCAAAGCACTCTTACAGCAGCCCGATTTCTTACGGCATGGTTTTGATGGACTTGCCGATCAATTGTGTGCAAGGCAATCGACTGGTTCCCAAGCCAGCAGCTCTCGCTTGGAAGGCGCTGTCCCTACTCATGTCGTGGTGCCACAACCAGCACACCACGCGGCCCAGCAACGTTCCCTCTTCCCTTGCTGGCACAGTGCATTAAGGACGGCAATTACCGCTGGTCTTGTCGACGTGGTGGGGACTGGAGACGGGGACATGAGGAGGGCGTCAAAGCGTACGCCGTGTTGTGGAGTTTTGCCGACGAGATTTGGTGAAAGCGCTGCCGGTGGGCCATGCGACCGTCGCGTGGATACAAATATTGCGTATGTTTTCCATAAGGGCATGGCAACTAGCCATCCAGGCCCGGCCAGATGCATTTTTTTAAAGAAATGCGCACGAATTTTCGGGCCGGTAAACTTTAGGTCTATGCTTTTAGTACGGAGAACTGGGAACGTGGCCGTGAGGAGGTAGCCTTTCTCATGCGCCTCATGGAACGAACCATCATCCTGGAGGTTCCGGAGCTGCACGCGCAGGGAATACGGCTGGTCTTTGCGGGCGACCGGACGGCTCTGCCGAATCGCTGCGACGTGCCATGTTGGGGTGAGGGAGCCGGGCTACGCTGGGATAAAAGGGTGGACGGCCAGTTGTGCAGGTGGGTGGGGGTTGTGAAGCAGAAATGACTACGAGTGCGCTTTTGCACTGTGTTATTATTGCAATTGACTGGGCGGGAAAGGGAGGGGAAGCGGGTGGGGCCCAGTGGCAGAGCAGGTGCGGAGAAGGAGACCATGCAATGGTGCTGATGATGGAGGTCACTTTCTTCATTCCTCCACCAGATGATGTGTTGGATTGCCTGTCGCGGCCCAGGGGGGAAATGAAAAGCAGGCGGTGGCATCCCGCAAAGACCTCCTTGGGACCGCTGCACAGCTTCCTAGGGTAGGGTAGGATAGGGTAGGGTAGGGTAGGGTAGGGCACAGAGGAGGGGTACGGGGTAGGGCTAGGGGGGGGTGTTCTGCCAGGCAGCTGCTGTTACAGACACCACGTAATGTAGTTTACGTAAATGTTTCTTTGCTACCGTATCCGTCCTTGGGTAGTTGTGTAAATGGTGAGGAGCGTACTGCCAACTGGCCAGGAACCATCTCTGCTGCCATCTCAACATGTTTGCATATGGACGACGGACAGCATGCAGTCGCCGCACCGAAATGGTTTATAGGTAATAACCAGGTGGTGCTGTGAGGTCGGATACGATTGCTGAGAGAAATGTTGCTCCCATCTATGGGTTGAATTTCTTATATTGTTGATTTATTCGAACGAATTCGTTGTTCCTTGCTGTAGGGCCGAGAAGCAGACGGCTCCCAACACAGATTTACTTTCTGTGCGTTCCGTTTGTCGTACGGCGGTCAGCAATATGTCATCCAAGCTGTGCAGCAATTATGTAATATGGAGGTGCAACAGGGCAAAAGGTAAGCCTTGGCCAGGTGCGGATACTGATATGGAATGTCATAACGGAAAATATGTGGAGTGGAATGCACCGCGCTGCTGCTGTGGTTTGCGGATTCCACCTACTGACTACTGACTTCGGACGTGACAGCTTTAAGTGACAGCATCTTCGTGTGGTACGGTGCAGTTGACAGGATTACCAAATGGGGGAATGTGAAGGTGTGAATCAGGGTTTTAGTTAGGGTTTTAGGGTTTTAGAGTTTCTCTCAGCCTCCGTTTCCTGCTGCAAAACACCTTCCTCCCGCTTCCTCCCCCCTCCCCCTTCTTCCCATTCTTACCGGCCTAATTTTGTCAACCGTTAACTCCCAACTGCCAACTCCCAACTCCCCCGCAGGCATACGGAGGATGTGGACCTTTACTCCGTCAACTACCTGCATTTCGGAGCGCCCAAGCCATGGTACTGCATTCCGCCGTGCAGCTGCAAGCGCTTCGAGGGCCTTGTGAAGGGCATGCTGCCGGACATGTTCAAGGCCTGTCAAGAGTTTTTCCGATACAAGGTACGGCAGTTGTACTGCGGTACGGCGTCACGTTTTTCCGGATGTGCTTTTTCCGTATCCATTTGCTTGCTCCACTCGCTGTTAAATGATGATTCACTCTTTCACATGTTTTGTTATAGTTTGTTATACACCACCATTACCACGAATCTTTTTAGTTCTGGGAAAGGGTGTTACAGTTTTCCTGGGGCTTCGCGGTTGCTTTCCTATTCCTTATAAATGCATTAATCTAACAACGTATTAATCTACAGCATTCGTACATGTGTTTGTGTGCATCTGTCTGTCTGTCTGTCTGCCTACTTGTCTGTTTTGCCGCTCCCAGGCCGCAGGGCCTCCACCAAACGAGCGCTTCACTTTTTCCTGTCGTACCTATGTCGTACAACTTCCCCATCCGCCCGCCTCGCCCGCCCCACCTCTTTTGTGCTCCCAAACCCCCCTATACACACACACGCGGTCAGGAGCTCATAATTAGTCCGCAGCTTCTAGATACGAACGCAATTCCGTACATCAAAACCGTACAACACCCTCGCGAGTTCACCATAATAATAATGCAGGCTTTAGCAAAGAGCGTGCCACGTCGTAGTAGACTCCTCGACCATTCTTCATCAAGTGCTTTACTTGAGTCTTTTTTAGCTCAGCTTGCTCATATTTTTAGCTCAGACCAACGCTCGACAGCATTATGGTCTGCTCTTGCCTATTCCGCATCCTAGGTGACGGTACAGCATCTGTTTTTTTAGCGCACTTTAATGATACAGGTAGAGCGATAGAATGATAACCCGACAGATGGTGATGCCTAGTTCTGCAGGGAAAGAAAACCAGACCTGAAATGGACTACATACAGCGTGCTCGTAACAACCCCGAAGAACCGGTCAAATTGGCCTCATGGTGCAACTGATCGACCAGTTAGCCGGGCTGGCGGGAGGCCTGGCAGCCACAAACCAAGAACTCCGCACGATGAAATATGAGCAAGCTGAGCTAAAAAAGACTCAAGTAAAGCACTTGATGAAGAATGGTCGAGGAGTCTACTACAACGCCTTCGGCCTAGTCCACCAAAATGGGCTCTTCTACCTGGACAGCATGCGGATTTTCACTACCGGGGATGTGGATGAGGGCAGGGTAAAGAGCATTTCAAGGGAGGCGAACATCAACATCACGTGGATGAGACCCCGGGGGGAACGATCCGAGCAAAGACCGTAGGACCTGGTGCGCCTACTTCGACCTATCAGAACGTGCCTCTTTCTTCTTCTTGGCAGTTGAGGTCCTGTGACACCAGGAAATTGGCATCGATGACAATCTAACACAGGCAGGGAGGGCTGAGAGAAAGCGCGTGGCCCCACTGCGGCACGACATCATGCGACAAGGCACGATCCCAGTCTGGGGGCCAAGGTTATATACGTAAAGGAGCGACCAGGTGGAAAGGTGCAGCCATACGGGGCCCAGAATGATAATGACAGCGACCTGGGCAGTGCTGAGTACGCCGCCGATGGAGGCGACAACGATGGAGAAGGGGTTGCAGCTGCCGAACAGGGGGCTGCCAGCAGTGATAATGTCGGCGGCGGCAGCACAGGAAGAGGCGGTGGAGGAGGGGCCAGCGGCAGCAGGGGCCCCGGAGGCGGCACCTCAAGAGTGGCAGCAGCAGCAGCAGCAGCTACGACTGCAGCAGCCGGGAGGGAGGGTGCACGGGGCCCCAAGACGGCGGCCGCAGGGTCTGCAGCTCCAGCTGTCGCAGGGGCAGCGAACGCAACGGCAGCTATTGCAGCAGCGACCACCTCGCGGGTGCATGGTGTACGGGCACTGCTATCCCCATCTGTGGCCTGCAAGGCAGGGCCGGCAGCGATAGCGCCCTCAGTAGGGGCTCTGGCGGTCGGGTTAGTCTTCTGGCAACGACACTGGGACGCATGTTGGAGCTGCTTAACATTGTGGGACATGTTCTATGATGATTTTGGGATGCGGCCAAATATGTCGAAATGTGAACGCCTCGTTTTTGCAAGCGGCAGCGACACAGGGAGTGCTGTTCAAGCATCGTGTGATGAGCTCAGGCTGGCTGGTGAGGCCATACCGGCTAAGGATAGTGCACGATATCTGGGGTTAGTGTATGGGCCAGAACGGCCGTTTTGGGCCTGCCGTCAGCAGTTGATGTTGTTACAGGGTGGTTAAGCTTCACCAGTGGCCTCCGTCCCGGGGCAATTCCCTGCTCTCCCCTGCTAGAGGGGCACCCTAATCCATTCACCCCATCCGACTTCAGAGTGTACTCATTGAGTTTGGCAACTCACCACCAGCATCCAACCAAATCTAGCGGATCAACGGCGCGTCAACTTAGTTCCTGGTCAGCTCACAAGTTGATTTTATCACGTCCTACACTGTCACAGGGGGGCCACCTCCCATATCACCACCTCTCAAACACCCGAGAGGTCGGCAGGCGGATTTGGACCCGGACACTCCGGAGCAGAAGTCAGGCCTTAACCTCTGCCAGCCGCCTCTGCCAGCAGTTGTATGACACAGCTAGAGCAGCTATGTTCGCGTTGAGAACAAAATTGGATAAGCGAAGTTGTTTGCCCCAGATGTGAGGATGAGGTGTTTCGATACGCAGGCGCGAGCAATACTGTTGCATGGTTGTCAAGCGTGGGGACCGCTTATGCTAGCTGAGGTCTCGGACAGGCTCAGGAGGCTTGGTGATGTGAGTAACCTTGCGGAGGGACCCTCCGAGGCATGCCTAAATTACAAATTACAAGTTCCGCACACAAGTGCGGGTGTGTCCATAAAAGCCGGGGGGGCCATGGACGTTGTATTGGTATTGATGCGGGTACGCGGGAGGTCATCTTCATTCTCCCTCGTCCGCTTCAGGGCGAAGCGCCTCAGCGCGACGTGCCTGGCCTCCCAAATTTCCGAGAGGTACCTGGCCAATGCCAGGGGTGGCGCCTCAGTCATAATGGTGCGCATGCTGCGCCCCGTAAGGACTAGGTCACCATCATACTTAGCCCGTATGTTCTTGTAAGCGGGACATTCTTCGAAAACATGCAACTCATCTTCAACTGCTCCACAGTCACAAAGCCTGCAGGTACGCGCGGTGCGCTCACGCCCATTAGGCCTATTAACCTCTAACTCCCAACAGCCTAACCGAAAACGCATGAGCACATGATGAAGTCGCTTGGGCATGGTCCCTTTAGTGTGCTCCAACCAATCGAGACGCGCACCCCTAGACGGGGCAGCTCCCATCCAGTTCATATAGCGACACGCCTTGGCTCCGGTAATTCCTATGGGGAAGACGCGGTCCCTGCTGTGAGTAGTTGCTTGGTACATGCTGAGAACTGCACTCCTGGGCCATAGTGCAACCCGAGATACTGTGCCGTCTTGTTGCCGGTCAGCACCCGCAACCCCGCCCCACCTAACCGGTACTCAGCTTCAATAAGCCGCTTCCGCTCACGCGTAGCCCCCCCAAAAATGAGGACTTCGCACTTGGCGGCATTCGTGGCCATACCCGTCGCTTTGGAAAATTTGGAACCATTTCTCGATTTGTGCAAAAAAAAGGACGGAGCGGTGCAGCTTCAGATATTGTTCATGCGACAAATTGTGGGAGCTGCCAGACCAGCACATCGCCTCCTGTTCGCCTGATTGTTGCAGTTACCCCTGCACTACCGTGTTTTCAAACAGGTTGTGAGGTTTTGGAACCGTGTCCGTTTACAGCGTGGGTCTGTAGCACACCAAGTTTTGCAACAGGAGGTCGCAGAGTCCCTCTGGATGGGGCACTCCTCCGTTTTCCTCCGTTTTCCATGTTTCCTGGGGCACGACGTATGGAAAGAGGCCCCGCAAGGGCTACACGAGGTAGACAAACGAGTGGAATGGCTAACGAACAGACCACTGCCAGAAGGTGTGGTATTGGAGTTCAAGGACCGATTGGTGAGTAGTTGGAAGCATACGCGTCTAGATGTCCAGCCAGACGTGTCAGACGGCAAGCAACCGGGAACTCACATGGCGAAGTATAAGCATTGGATGGATCTGGCGGCCGAGCAAGCGGGCAGGAAAGAGGCGCTCCCGCACACCACAATGTTTATCCCGCGGTCAGCGAATCGCAAGCTCATGCAGTTTAGGCTTTGCTGTTGGGCATTGGCGGCTAACAGAGCGCGTAAGGGACGGCGTTATATACCTATGGGGGAGCGAGTATGCCCCTGCTGCGGCACTGATAGCCATATCGAGGATGAGAAGCACATTTCGCTGGACTGTCCGGTGTACGACAATCAGATTTGATATGGACCTCCACGCTTCGAGCTTACGAAGGACGCTATGAAGTGGGAACCTGAACGCTTGGCAAGGATACCGGAACGTATATGGTCCTATTGCGACTCTCTTCGTTCCCTTTGGTCGTTAGTATCCTTTATTATTTGCTTTGTCTGAAGTGCGAGGTAGGATGGTGCTTATAGGCGATCTGGCAGCCCTTGAGCCCTAGGGCGGCCTGCAGGTACGGGGAACGCACCCACGACCATGTAACACACACAGCATCTGTCCGATCGTCTGTCGACGCACATGACTCATTCGCTCGTTGGGGATCCGGACCCACTAATCCGAGTCAGCTGGGAGCAGCAACTATCAAATTTCCTGCTATCGAACTGCGCCTACACGGAGCTGTACTTCACGTCTACCTGCTGGCCCAATTTCGCCGAGAAAGGTTGGGAGGATGCGGTGCGACACTTCGCCTCAAAACAAAGACGATACGGGGGTCGCTCCAATAGACTGCAACTGATGCAAGAATTACACTGTAAAGACACTATAAAGCCTCCCGCTTGCTGCTTCCTATATTGTTCAGGGCCTCTGCTCTGTTCCGCTAAACTGCCATTTACATAACTTGGCTGTTCGAAGAATTAGTACAGCGTGTGCTGGTGGAACGCAAAAAGGAGACATTGCCCTCGAAAAGCCTTACAAGACAACCGAAAAAGCTGTCGCTTAATCGAACAGGGAGAAGCCCATATCCTCCTCCTCGGACGGCTCCTTCTTCTCCTCCTTCTTGGGAGCTGCAGCGGCAGCCGGAGCACCGCCAGCTGCCGGGGCGGCGGCCGCTGGAGCAGGAGCGCCACCGCCTGAATTAAGGAAAATTGTTGATCAAAATACGTGTTTTATAAGTTTCCTAACATCTTTTTTCCAAGTGCAAAAGAGCCTTACCAGCGCCGACGTTGGTGATGAGGTCCTCCATGCTCTTCTTAGCAAACAGCTTGGCAAACAGGCTCGGCCAGTAGGCCTCCACCTCAATGCCGGCGGCCTTGGTAATTGTCACAATATTCTCGGCCGTAATCTCCAGACCATCGTCAAAGAGAATGAGGGCGGCGTAGGTGCAAGCCAGCTCGGAGGTCGCCATCCTGAAAGATGTTTAAGCCGAAGTAGGCCCTAACAGGTGTGAAACGACCGGGTGTTGAAGGAGGGCACTATGTGCGCTAACCCCACACTTAAACGGAGGTGTTGCAGTACAAGTGTACGGAACAAACCATTGTTTCCTTTATTGAACGCTTCTCCAATGGTACCGAGATGTGATGCTAATTTAAAGTTGAGAAATGCTTTGGGATGATCCAGCACTTTTGCGATTCTTGCTGACTGACACATATCACATGACAACTTTCTTTCAATCAATCTACTTAGCTGCTTGAACAACCTGCAGAGATTTTACTTTCAAGATCACATTGCAAGATGTCCGTACCAAGCAAAGCGTTAAGCCTCCCTTCCTTCCTCTTCTCGGTCTTCGTGTTTTACTGGAGCCTGCCTTTGTTTGCCATCATCTATCGCATCCGCTTCGCAAATGTTGGCAAGCGCAACGACATGCTCGACTGGTGAGGGGCAACACGCTGGCGTGCGTGTTGTACGTGTGGAAGGCCAGACGTGTTAAACGTCATGGACCCGCTGCTCTACGACCTGCCAGCTCCTCACCCCGTCACATCACCACCATAAACCATTGATGGCGCTGATATCGGTGATATGATCCCTCTCGCGTCTATGCAAAGTCACAATCCCCTTGCCCCGGACATCGCCGAGCACCCGGCGTTTGCCTGGCTAGCCAAAAGCTTTTGCCACAACTATTATAGCCGCCACCGTACCCATATAATTCATACGGGGCCGCTGCGCCCCTTCCTTTGCCCAAGTTGCCCTCGCTCCATTCCGCATACGGCACCTCCCTCCTCCTTACCGTCGCCGCAGGGCCAAGGCGTTGGTCGCGTTCTTCCGAGTCACGGTCCTAAAGCAAGGGGAGATGTCTCTCTACCGCGGGGGAAGGTGCCTCTACCTGGTAGGCGCGGGTAGATTCCCCATCTCATGGACTCGCCCCGTCTCTTGACCTGTCCCATTCCGACCCTTTTGGGGCTCTCGGAGGCCTTCCTTTCCGCCACGTAAAGGAAGCACGCGGCTCACGGCCATTTCTTGTCCTCTCTGACCACTTTTCAACTTTTCACATTCCTGACCGCGCCCTCCTCATTACACTCGTCGCACTGTCCGCTTCTCCAATTACTGCTCTGTCACGTTGCCGCTGTCTCCACCTCAGTGCAACCACCGGAGCTGGGCGGACTTCTTCATTGACACGTATCTGACGGAGGGGCGGGCGGCTCTCATGAGCAGGTCCGCGCGAGAGGGTGCGGGTGGGGGTGGGGTTGCGTGAGGGGATTGCGAGAGAGGGTATGGTGGGCAGGGAGGTGCGCATGAGCGAGAAAAGGGGCACGGCTCTTGTCTGCGTGTGTTTAATGTATGTGTGTATGTTCGTATGGACATATGTGCGGCCCTGTGGGGGAGGAGATGGCGACGACGGCGACGGTGTTGATGTTGTTGTTCCCCATCCCCAACCCCGCAGGTGGATGGTGTTCTTCGCCTTCCCCGTGTTCTGCACCTCAGTCCTCATATTGCGAGGTATCGTGCTATTCAAACGAGGTCATATAGCGGACAAGGAGGTGGGTGTGGGTTCGCGGGTAAATAAGGACATTGTTAACTTTGGGAATCCGCATGGGATGCCCCCTCTGGAAGGGGGAGCTAGGAGGGGGGATGTGGGGGCCCCGTTACGTGCAGGTGGTAGGTGGGTGGGCGGGCGCACGCAGGGGGCTTGGGTGAGCGTTACGTCGCCTGCAAGACAGGGGTTATTGGGGCTGCTGCTGCTGTCAGGTCGTAGGGGCATGTCATGTCACTTACGTGTCCCACGTCCTAGGGCCATTGATGCCACGCACCATGTGCTAGCGGTGGTATCCATTTCCTTATCTGATGCAGGACGTTTAGGCCCTCCCCGTCCCCTCCCCCCGTTTGCTACTCTCTTGCCCTGGCAGCAGCTTCAATCGCGTGTGGTTCGTCTTTCCCCCCTTTGCTTTGTCTCATAGGGTATAAGTCTCTACACACTTCACACGCACACTTCACACACACATACACACACACTTCACACACACGCACACTTCACACACACACACTTCACACACACTCGTAGATGGCGGCGACAGCGGATCCCTCTAGGGCCCTCCCTGACTGCCTCCTTCCTGCGTTCCATTTTCACCCCTTCCCAACGCCCCCCCACACGCGCACAGACTGCCTCCCTCCAACCGATCGAGGAGGTGGCTGTTGGCCTAAGCTCCCTTATGTGGTCCTGTCCTTTTCCGGACTTCATCTCATCTATGTATCCTTGTCATGCGCTTATATGTTTTTGTTGTTTGCTGTGTTGTTGTATCCTCTGAGCTCCTTAGATCCGACGTCGTGGTGGTGGTTATGGTTATGGTTGTATGGTTGTTGCGACGGTTGTTCAGGCCTTCAACGTCTGGCTGGATGCCACTCTGAGAAAGAGTACGGTCCCTGGTTTACTGGTGTACCCGGAAGGTGAGGAGCTGGAGGCGGAGGAGCTGGGACTTACGGTTTGTGGGGAATGTGGGAGGGGGGGAGGAGATGCGCAAGTCCAAGTGGTATCAGGTGCCGATGTCCAAAGCTGCAATCTGCTGACTGGGTCCAAAGCGACTGCGTGAAATCTACATTACCGGCATTAGGAGGCGAGGGAGGCGAAGGGGGGAGGGAGTGGTGGCGAGGTCAGTGGGAACATTAGGAGGGGGGAGGGGTGGATACTTGCTGGGGAAGGGGGGAGGGAAGGGTTGGGCCAGGGGTTTAGAAAGCCGTACGTCTGCTTATGAAGGGGACAAGCATGGTGTTGAGAGAGGGGGCCCCAAACCGTGTGTGATCACGTGGGGTGAAGGACAGGAAAGCGGCCATGTGCACGTGTGTTCCCCCTCTCGCTTGCTCGCTCTCTTGAATAGAAAATACACACGCACAATTGTTGATGTACCATTCTCGCCGTTTCCTTCACGCGGCTCAATAAAATTAAATCACGCATGTACACACAGACGTACAAGAACTCTTAACATGTTGCACATCTGGCTCCCCCCTTTCTACTCCCCCCTTTCCCCTCCCCTCTTTCCCCCCTCCTCCTCCTACGCCTACCTGTCAGTTCTGCTTCTTGTACATTCTTTCCTTGGCAGCAGCTTCACTCGTTCGTGGTTCGTCTTTCCCCCTTCCTCCTCCTCCTCCTCCCCCCCTCCCCCTATTGCTGTTAGGCCACCGCAGTCTGAAGCCCCGCAGTCTGCCCCTGAAGCGCGGCATGCTCCACTTCGCCTTCAGCCGGCATCTGGCAGTGCAGCTGATCATCACCCGCGGCAAGGAGGAGGTGATGTGTGAGAAGACCTGCTCGGCCAGGTGGGGCAGGACACTGGTCACCAACTACTCCAAGGTATGCGCCGGGGGAAGGTGGGGGGGGGTTGAGTGGGTAGGGTGGGGGGATAAGGGTAAAGGGATGAGAAAAACCCGGTCACGGTCACACACGCTTCATTTTTTTGGTTGATGAGTCCAGTGGTGGTCAGGGCCCGCGGCATCACAGGGTGGGTCCTGAGGGCGCGGGCGGTAAGGTCTTTAGGTGCTGTCCATGTACGGTAGCTTTACAATGTACGGCGGTGTTTATCGTCGTCAGCCACAACTCGCGGGTTCTCATCATTCTCTTCGCTTCCTCCTCCTCCTCCTCCTCCTGCTGTCCGCCAACCCAACATTATCACCACCACCACCGCCACCGCCACCACCATCAACAACAACAACAACAACAACAACAAGAACAACAAGAAGCAAGCAATTATCATGATGATCATTGTCGTCATCCAACCTATGCTTGTCTCCACGCTGTTGTTCACAAGCCCCTCCCCACCCCCATCCCCCACCCCCCGTTCCGACACACGCACGCACACACACACGGTCGCAGGTCATCAAGCCGACAGACTTCGACAGCTTCGACGCCTTTTTTCAAGAGGTACAAACAACCTGGGATGCCTGCTGGCAGCTGTCGTACCACCAGCCGACTGAGGGTACGTGGCGTGCCGTACGTGTGCACTGGACACCGTACATGGGACGTTCACTGACGTATGCGAAGCTGTCCACTGGTTGGGGAGGACGTAATAAACCATTATTGGGTCCCTCGATAGTGTCGTACGAGCCCTTGAACCACCCAACACTGCCAACCCTTGTTCACTCCTTCACATACATACATACATACATACATACAAGTTCAGGTACTACTGGTAACGCACACACCGATGCCCCCGGAGGTTCCGGGCTCGAGACCTGTCAGGGTCGAAAATCCTTCCGATAGTGGTAGGTAAAAGCGCCGTTAGTCTATGGACGGTGGTGACCTGGGATAAACTTAACCTGCGAGCCGACCAGGAATGGAGTTGGGCCGCTCTCGATCCGGCAGATTCCGTTGGATGCCGGTGGTGGGTGCTGAGCCTGAGCGATCCACTGAGAAGTTGTCTAGGGTGACTGGATGAGGGTGTCCCGAGATACCGTTAAGACAGGGTTTCGCCGGGTAGCGGCCGCGGGTGAAAATATGGCCCCCCATGTTCCACACATCGTACGAAACCCGTCTGCCAACTTCTTTGGAAGATACGTTCCCAGTATCACCACAGTGTTTCAGATCTCAACCCATATTCCGCAAATGCGCTACTCCCCTCCCCCCCGCGTAAAACCCCCAAAAATTTTGGCTGATTCTAAGCAAAGTAAAATTGTTATAAAGCAAAGAGTCGGCAATTTAATTCTTGTGCCCTATCCAAACTACAAATCCCACCAGCAGAAGCTGTTGCTTTAACTCCTGCGTATAATAATGTTGTCCAACACACACGCACACATACACAAGCAACCCACCCACCCGCCCCCTGATATACATCAGACATATATACAGGGGGCCGCTGGTGAAGCTTAACCACCTTGTAACGACATACATATGTACATGTGCAGGTGTTCCGCGGCTCAGCCTCAAGGACGCGCATGAGTACGACTACCCGCCAAGCATGTGGTGGTTGCAGCTGGGAGTGACACTGCTCAGCATCGTCCTTCTGGCTGCCGTACTGTACGGCAGCTGGCTGGTCCTCCGCGCAGGGATACTGAGCTTGGGGTCGTCTGGGACACAACAGGTGGGTGTGTGTGTTATGTGGCATTGGGTTTTTTTTGTCAGGATGTGTTTATGGGAGCATGTGTGTCTATAGGGGGGGAGGGAGAGAGGAGATGAATGCGCGTAATCTTGCTTTACATCACTATATCGCAAATGATGTTTTGCTATCGCCCTTGCGTGCCTTTGATCGAAACGGTTGCCGGCACCTCGCCGCTGTTTCCTCCGAAACCGCTCTATCTCTACCTTCTTATATCTTCAATGGGAACACATATGCTTCCCTTCCGTCTAGCCGCTCTGAAACCAATTATGTAGCAATCGTGTTCGCTTCTGAAACAGTGCTCTGACAGCCATATAGCATGCCGATGTGGCCAGAATAGGAAAGCTTACAGCCTCCGGTCAGGAAGAGGATTGTGTGTCTATGACCTGCAGCTTCTCACTTATTCAGCAAGCCAATCTCCCCATTACGCATGCATGCTCTGTCCTGCATGATGGCACCACGTTTACCTGATGCATGCGCATTGGCAAACACACCTCCATGTCGGAGGTTATCTCGTCTAATAATCGCATCCGCCATCAGGACGATAGGTTGGAAATCCTGGTAGGCACAGCTATTGCCATGTACAGTAATTGCCATCTGGTGGGAAGTTCTGGTAGGCACAGTTATTGCTCAGCCTTGTACATATTGCAAGTGCGAGATATCGCACCTTATTCTGATGTGCAGGAGCGACCCAACAGTCGGTGATGGTGCATCGGACGAACCCTGGACTGTGCCGGGTACGGACAGACATTTCTAGTATCCCATCCAGCCCTTCCCCCCCCCCACCGACAGGAAAGCCTTGAGACCCTCATGCACTTCAACCATTAACCCGGATCCCAAGGAGAGATTCACACGGGGACGAGGGAAGAAGGCCCGCTATGCTGCACACACTTTATCCCTACGTGTGTAGGCACCCGTTGACGCTGTCATGGTACAAATGAATCGCGTCCATAGACACATAGGTACGTTAGTGATGTTCCAGATTTAGACCAGCTGACAGCACTGCAGGAGTTTATGGGCTTGCCGGGTGACGTGGACCTTCAGGACTATGCAGACGTGCCTGAACGTAGGAGTGAGGACCTCGTCTGCAATTTTGCTGGGCACCAGTTGGGTGTCATGTGCCGGTCACAGGGGCTGCTGGTGTTAAAGGGCGTGTTCTGGGGATTAGGAGGGTCGTCTGACCTTCCCCAAGGGTGCAGCAGGTGGGAGCATGATCGATTTTTTTGTAGGTTCGGCCGGTGTCCTCCGTCATGCCTACTGGATGCGCGTGGGTGAGCTGCTCGCGTGGTTGGTTCCCGACTGACCATCGTCCAGTGACGCTAGTGCTTGATCTAGTTGTGGGAAGAACCGAGGAAAGTGCCAAAGGGTGCTGCCAAAAGAAGCGAGCAGTGTTTGAGATTTCCCGTTACCGTGACTATGCTGCTCTGTGTACTGAGGGATCTCAGGTCATGCACGCACTAGATGGGGTGATCACGGACCTATCGAATGGGACCTGCGACAGCACGGAGTCGGTGGAGCGCATTAGTGCCCTCCCTGCGGAAGGTGCTGATTCAAGTATTTACGGGTCGCAGGCCTGAGGGTATGCAAGTGGGGGATGATGTGTCATGAGGAATGCCAAAGCGCCTGGCAACACATGCTTGCTTGCAGAGTGCGATTGGGGCCTGGCAGGGTCGAGAATAAGTCAGGTCCTTTGTAGGAAGCGTTCTGCAAGGCACGCAATGCAATGAATCGTGCCAAACGTTGTGCCCGAGCAGCATATGATGCAGAGAGAATGCGTGAGTTTGTGGTTAGGCGCAGGCACGACCAGCGCACATTATGGTGGGCCTTGGGAGGGCAACTCAGGGAGCGCTGTGCAATTAACGACTTGCATGTATTTCGGGATCACTTTGCCACCTTGTTAAACGCAGGAGTTGGGGAGACGGGTGTTGAAGGTGCACGTCGGCTCCTTAACTATATCTCCTTTTTTGGGACTCCTTTGGGAGAGGGTGCTTGGCAAGCATGTCGGACTGTCATGGACAGGAGGGCACGGGCAGCTAGCATCCTGGATGAGCCTTTCACCTTGGAGGAGGTAGCGCGTGCTGTCGGTGGGTTACCAAACGGAAAGGCTCATGGGCTCGAGGTCGCACCATCGGAATGTTACCGTTATGCACGCCTCCCACGGGTGGATGAGCAGGGCAGGCAGGGAACGGAGGTGAACTGTATCGTCCCAGTGCTGCACGTTTTGTTAGCGCACATCAGGACAACTGGCGACTTTCCACAGCAGTTTACCAAAACGGTGGTATCCCCAATTTTGAAGAAGGGTGACCCGTTGGTGGCAGGAAACTATTGGGGCATTGCAGTTGGAGGAGCATTTGCAAAGTGCTATGCGTCAGTGATTCTTAACCGTCTGGTACGTGCTGGGGAAACACTGGACCTACGGCACCCATGCCAAGCGGGTTTCAGGCTGGGTTTCGGCACCGCTCATCACCTCTTTGTCAAGCAACACCTGGTCAGGCGGCGTCGGAGCGGCGGCTGCCCCGCGCTCCGATGCCGGCGGCTGCCCCGCCGATGATAATAGTACAGATTGACTTTGAGAAGGCCTTTGATAGGGTGCCTCGCGAGCACATGTGGCTTCGGTTGCAGGAGAGGGGGTTAGCGGCCTCATGCTAGATGCTCTGAGAAAAGCATATGAGAAAGTGTCCATGGTGATTAAGGTGAATAAGAAAGTGGGAGGAGGGTTTGAGCCTAAGCAAGGAGTGAAGCAAGGGTGTCCTATATGTAGGGAGCTGTTTGGACTCTTCATTGAGACACCAGCTGATCTGATTGATACTCATGACCTTGCAGAAGCTGGAGTACGTAAGTATGACACACCCCTTGTGGACAGCAAGCGCGTCTCCATACTGCTGTACGCAGACGATGTTAGTCGGCTAGCGACGTCACTAGAGCGAATGCCTGAGTTGCTACATCTTGTGGACTTGTTTTTGGGATGCGACCAAATGTCTCAAAGTGTGAAAGGGTTGTTTTCGCATGTGATGGCACCCAGCAGTCGGAACTTAGCGAGAGATGTCATCAGTTACGGCTATCATGCCAGGTAATACCTGCCAAAGATAGCGCTCGCTATCTGGGCTTGGTGTACGGGCCAGAACGGCCTTTTAGTGCGTGCCGTCAGCAATTACGTGATACAGGACGGTCCGCCATGTCTTCCTTAAGCGCAAAGCTGGACAAGATGAAACTGTTCGCCCCCGATGCGGTGCTTTGCAACACAAGTCCGAGCAATTCTGTTGTATGGCTGCCAGGCGTGGGGCCCTTTTGCTGTCGCGTCATACGACTGTAGCATCGAACAAAACACGTGCGTACGGCAGACAACCCCCCCAGCGGGCGAAGCCGAGATGGTGAATGCCCGTGGAAAGCTCCATGTACGCACCTTCAAAGCAAGTGCTCAGCTAAGCTGCTATCCTTCAAAATCACACGCTTGATAACCGGATTGGTAAACACAATAAGCCAGATAAAAGACTGGTACTCAGACTCAACGGAAGGACAACTCAACATCAACAAACAATCCTTATCCTGCAGAGTGCGCAACCACTTCATGCGCGCTTCATCAGCACCCGATATGTGATCAACCGGGATTCTAGCGACCACAAAGCTCTTAACAGACTTAATCGCTGCTGGAATTGCGAAATCTAACAACGCGCCAGTAATTGACAACACTGCTGCATCTACAGATGTAAACTGCTTACCTACGCCATCATAAAACTGAGGCGACAAGGGATCACTCAATTTCACCGGTTTCCCTTTTAATGGAACTGTCTGAACTCCCCTTACAGTATTACATGGTGAAACAGATCCTCCGTTTCTGGAACCGCCTTCAAAAGCAAGTGGGGTCCATTGCTCATGCAGTTTTACGGCAGGAGATAACTGATGCTCTGACCAACCCGGAATGGGAGGGTTGGGGAACCTCAATGTTACGACTGTTTTCCTTCTTGGAGTGCAATATTTGGAGCGGAATACCGCAAGAAGTCGTGGGGGTAAAGGAGCGTGTTGACTGGCGGTTGAGCAGACCTCTCCCCAAAGGAGCGGTGATAACGGCACTAAGGGAGCGTTTAATGAGCGGCTGGGACCATGCGCGTCTGACTGCCTTGCCAGAGGAGTACCCATCAGATGGGAAGCAACCGGGAGTGCAGATGGCGAAATATAAGCACTGGATGGGGCTGCCCTTTTCGGGAGCCGCAGCCGTTATGTGGCCAACATATGCTAAAGTTTTCATTCCTCGTTTAGCACATCGTAAGCTAATGCAGTTTCGTTTATGTTGCTGGGCTCTGGAGGCAAACAGAGCACAAAGGGGCAAGTACCATGTCCCCAGGGAGCAGCGGTTTTGCCGCTGTTGTGGTACCAATAGCCAAGTCGAGAATGAAAAACACATGTTATTGGAATGCCCAGCCTATGATGATATTCGTGCTGAAGAGGGATTCGATCATCAACAGTGCATGTTGGTGGCCATGAAATGGGAGCCTGCACGTCTGGCGAGGATGTTGGAACGTATGTGGGCTCACCGAAACTCAATTACCCCCTTTGGACGCTAATCTGGGCTGATGTGCGGCGTTTCCTTTTCCCCGTGGCTTTTAGGCGTTGAAGTATTGCCCTTGGGCCTTCGGCTCGTATGGGTAGTTTTACAGGTATGAGGTCACGCACCCCCCAACCATGTAACACACACACACATACATGGCCTGCGTTAGAAGGGGAACATGTCTCGTTCCGTTGTGCATAAACCTGCCTGAGCTCCGTACTTTCTTCCGTACATGTGTTTCATTTTATTATTCGTTTGCACTTCTAAACAAAAGCAAAGCTTCTGGAGGCTGGCTATGATGCGCATCATAGCAATCCGGGCACCCACCCCCCGTGTAGCAGATTCCTAACTCGCACGTCTTTCGGCTAGCTTCCCTGTACGGTACACAGCTCCCTGTCCTCAGTCTTGCTCGCTGGGCAGCTTTTGCCGCACCCGACGCCATCATGAAAGGCAACAATTTGTAAGAGGCAGAATTTTGCACCTCCTAAGGTGCCATCGGGCTCGTCTGTAACAATCGAATTCAATCAACCTTAAAAACGATCGTGCATCCAGCGATCCAGACAATTTCCCATCCGCTCCACGCAGCGCAGTGTTGCTCATTCGCCATACGCCACCCCGTACGTTCTGTGTGCATGTGGAGGGCGGCCTACCGCAGGGTGTCGCAGGGAAGAGTCGCCTCATCTCATGGGACAATCTTCAAAACATTTGGGCGCTTGCCATAAGACAACGATGCATACCGGCCAGTTGCAGCATTGCCAGTTGAAGCAATGGCGACGGAAATGGAGGTGGTGTCGAGAGTAGCCAGAGCTGTTGGGGGTGGATGCCACATGCCTGCACCTTGCTGCGTCTTTGCTTCTTAACAAAACACAAGCAAATACGACGCAAATGTAGCCTGGAATGGAAACTGCTGCCCACGCTTGGCGAAACTCACACCGCCGTGTGACTGGGCTTATGGAAGATGTGCGGTGCCAGTTCGATGAGCCAATCAGGTTGTACGGCAGTGACTCCCTGCATCTCGTACCATCCGTTGTCCGACTGCTGTACGGTATTGTACACGACGCACGACGGTATGCTGCGCCACAGTACACTGCTGTTGTGGATTCGGAGCTTGATTGGGTGGGCTGCGGGAAACAAGGCGAGTGGTGGTGAACGCGTAAAAACACCGGCATAGACCGGGGGCGAGCCCACGGTTTGGGACCGGACAGAATGGGACGGTATTGAGGGGCTACCGGCACGCCGCGTGTCTAACAGGAGGTTAGGGAGGAGATGGAAGGTGGGCGCAACGATGTGGCGTTGTAGTAATGAATGGCAATGCAGGTCGCCCAGGCCGAACACATGTAAATAGGTAGGTAGGTAGGTAGGTAGGCAGGTGGGTAGGTAGGTAGGTAGGTAGGCAGGTAGGTAGGTAGGTAGCCAGGCGCCGACGCGACACTGTGACTCTTTGGATAGGCAGCAATTTGCAGTTGCAATTCCCAACTGTAGCTTGCAACTATAAACAGCACAGACCACTGCACAGACCACACAGGCATACATACATACATAGGCACAATACAAAAGAAACGCGGCGACATGCCGGGCCGTACGGCCGCCAGCAACACGACAGGTTCCATGTGGCGAGCACTGACACATTTGCGGTCCCGTACGCAAAACACACACGCGGTGATCGGCCTCCCACGCACTTCGCTGAGCCGTGTACCGTACAAGCCGAAACACATGCGTGCCGGGATCTCCCTCCGGAGCCAGGGGATTGTACTCGGTGCGGTCAAATACGGCGGCGTTCATAAACAGGCCCGCTGCCAGAGCACGGCACACGGGCTGGGGGAAGGGAAAATGCGGGGGCGGGAAGGCGGGAGGAGGCGCCGGTCCTGGCTTAAGTAGCATGCCGATGCAAAGCCAACGTTTCAGAGCGGCACGTTAAGAAAGAAACGGTGTGGGACGCGCGAGGGAAAGAAAAAGCCGCTTCCTGTACGCTGTCCCTTTTACCTTTTACCCCAGATCCCCCCCGCCTTATTGTCCCAAACACTTACCCCACGGGGCCAATCACTTACCCCCCGCTAGAACCCCACCCCACTTCACCCGCCCCTGTTATCCCTAGTCCCCGGGGCCTATACCTCCATGTCCCGCTCGCAGCTGGGTGGTGGCTTGTCCTGCGGTAATAGCCCGTGGCGCCGCAGCAAGCCCTGCAGCTGGTCTCGCGCCTCGTCAGCCCGGAAGAGCGCGTGGTGGTTGAGGAAGTGGCGCTGGGCCCTGGGGGGAACAGGCGGAGACGGCAGATGAGACGCGGGAAGGTGTAGGAAGTGGGGGAGTGGGGGAGATGTGTGTGTGCAAATGGCAAGGAGACGGGCTCCAGGACGGCATATAACCATGTTCCGAATCACGCACAAGCGCGGGTGCGCTCATGCACAAACAAACAAACAAACAAACAAACAAACAAACATACATACATACATACATACATGCATACATACATACATGGGCAGGCGGCTGGCAGAGGTTAAGGCCTGACTTCTGCTCCCGGCCGACCCGGGTTCAAATCCGCCTGCCAACTCCTCGGGTGTTTGAGGAGTGTTGAAATGGGAGGTGGCCCCCCATCATATGGACGATGTAGGAAGTGATAAAAACAACTTGCGAGCTGACCAGGAACTAAGTTGATGCGCCGTTGATCCGCTAGATTTGGTTGGATGCTGGTGGTGAGTTGCCGAACCCAACGAATACATTCTGACGTCGGATGGGGTGACGGATTAGGGTGCCCCTCTAGCAGGGAAGAGCAGGGACTGCCCCGGGAAAGGGGGCCGCTGGCGAAGTTAACCACCCTGTAACAACATACATACATACACACACACGCACACACCGCCACATGGCTGTCTGGTGGACAATCCGATGATGGGGTTCTGGCAGTGATCAGGGTCGGCTGTCATTTCATGCACCCCCCTGAAAGTGGGCAGGTATGATCACGATGGCCGTTGAGATACGGCATAACTCATTAGGTAGGAATCCTTCTTGCCGGCATCTAGTAAGGCCCATAGGTAGATGCCCTTTGCCATTGGCAGGCCCGCAGGATGTGTAATAACCCAAACACACATACCACCCGTGCATCACAGACACAGACAGACAGACAGACAGGCAGGCAGACAAGCTAACGCGACGTGTGAGACTCACCAAGCAGCAGACCGCCCGTTGGCTCTCCAGGCTCGGTGCACATTAAGCAACGTCACACCGTCGCCCTCTGCAGCCGCGAACTTGGCCTTGGCCTCCTCCAGCGCGCGTATTGCTCCTGCCAGGTCGGCAGTTCATACACCGAAGGATGCAAATACACAAAAATGCCAAAAAAATAAAAAAGGAGCTGTTGTTAGATGCATTCCTTCGGCGAATGTGCTGCTTCAATGGGATTATGGGCCGAAGAGCATTATGAGCCTGCAACTGCCGGGGGCGGAGTTACGTAAAACTCCCGCACGTGGGCAAGCCGTTGCGAACGCAGCATAAAGCCATACTCTGGCGTAATCCTTGACACCCCTCGACACCCCTCGACACCCGCTGTATGCTGTCCTCCTCCTCCTCCTGCGCATATCGTTCCACACCTCCACGGCCGCCCCCGCTTGTCTCTGGCCTCCACACACCACACCACACGACCCCCAACCCCCTTCACCACCGCAAAATCCCCCATCCACCCACCCACCCATCCACCCACCCACCCATCCACCCACCCACCCACCCACCCATCCACCCACCCATCCATCCATGCATCCATCCATCCATCCACTCGCCCATTCGTCCATTCATCCAGCCAGCCAGCCAACAACACCCAGACCCACGCACCTTGCGCAGGCGCCCACACATGCTGTACGCTCATCATGGCCGCCAAGGTGAGCATCTCCTCACAGCAGCCCAAGCTCCGGGACGCCAGCAGCGCCGCACCCAGGCCCGGCTCCAGGGGGAGGGCAGCCAGCGCAAGGCCCACATCGCGAGTCAGCCTGCGGAGGTTGATGGGTTGCCGCACCGGGATTCGGAATTCGAAAAATACGCCGAGGCATACGCGCACACACATATGCATACATACATACATATGCGAAGACATAGGCGCGTGGGGCAAGCACAAGGGGAGATACGGTGGTGCGTGTGGGGTTGAGGACTTAAGGTTTTAGGGTTTTAGACACTTTGAGGGGTAGGCCCCTTGTCCTTAGAGGCAGGTAGGTCCCTAACCAAGTAAAAAGGTAACACAAACGACGCAGGTAAACAGGCAAGCTAGCAAACGGCCAAGAAATATCAACACCTAGCACACATCAATGAACAAGGGACTATGGTAGCTATGGGCCACGTACACATCACCATGTCACCTGGCGTCCTCATCAATAACCTTCAACGCATGCAGCTCCTCAAGCGCGCGGACCTGCGGTTGAGAAGATTGTGCGGTGAAAACGGTTGGGCAGCAGTGCGGTTGGACGTTGGACGGTTGGGCAGCTGTGCGGTTGGACGTTGGACGGTTGGGCAGCTGTGCGGTTGGACATTGGACGGTTGGGCAGCTGTGCGGTTGGACGTTGGACGGTTGGGCAGCTGTGCGGTTGGACGTTGGACGGTTGGGCAGCTGTGCGATTGGACGTTGGGCGGTTGGGCAATAGCATTCAGTGCCATCAACAACCAGGGAGTTGATGCTCCGGGATGTCGATGCACCACCCGTTCCCATTTTGCATTTCCCAAACTCTCAAACTGTCAACCAATCCCCCACGACACATACTTACACGTATGATGTGTCTTGAAATCTATTTCTACACCGCCAATGCTCCCAACCTCCCCCATAACCTTGTCCTCCTCCGCCCAGTCCACCCTCCTCCCAATCCACCTCTACTACGGCCTTGCCCCGCCAGCCCACATGCCCTCGTTGCCCATGTACTCACGAGGGCCTCTGCAGGCGGCGGCGCCAGCCACTCAAACTTCAGCACGTTGTCAATGCCTAGAGCTTTAAGCTGCAGGGATGGGGAACAAAGAGGAAAGGCTGGAAACAGGTAGCCGTACAGATTGAGAATAAAGTATGAGTGAAAATGCAACAAGCCATCGCCTGGTGCGCACAAGCTTGCACCACGTACAGTTCGTAACCCCGTACTACGTACCTGCAGTACCATGCCAACGAGATTGCTTCGCTGCATCTCTGGCACCGTCACCTGCGCCGGGCCTCAAAGAGCAGTACAGCGCAGAAACAACGGAAGAGATTAACAAACAAAGAAACAAGAAGAGAAAGAAAGAAAAAACAAAAAACAAAGGAAAGAAAAGAAAAGAAAAGAAGAAAAGGGGGGCAAGGTTGCATGTATGCAAGCCAAGGTACGGGAAACGACTCCGAGATCCAAAGCACCGACATGAAACAGGAAGGGAACGCGTGGCGGACAGGTGGGCACAGACAGACCGACAGACCGACAGACAGCATGTGAAGAAAAAGAGATCTGGTCGCAGCACACGCCACGCAGCTCACAGAACCCACCCAACCCTACCCCCCACAACGCAACGCAGCCCAAAATTGGCCCCCACATTGGCCCCCACAATCGCCCCTCACACACTCAAACAAACAAACAAACAAACACCGACACGACGCACCTCTGGCAGCTTCGCCGCAAAGTCCGCCTCCATACAGAGCCTGAAGCAGTGCCCCGCCCTCATCCGCCCCGCCCTGCCGGCCCTCTGTGCCGCGGAGGCCTTGGACAGCGGTGCTATCAGCAGAGATTCCAATCCCGTAAGGGGGTTGTAACAGCGCTGCTTCACGAAACAGCAATCTATAACGTAGACAACACCTTGTAGGGGTGACGGGAGAGGACGGGAGGGTGACAACAAGAGAGATGAATGAATGGATTGGCGGGGGTGGGGGAGAGAAGAACGGAAAAGGATTGCATTGGACATACATGCAGACATACACGCATGCAAGAAGCCAGATCAAGTGCCAGATCGACACACGGGATACACGGATACACGTGCGCAAACAAGGTCAAAGATTGCCGTAAGGGAAGTAAGGGAAATAAGCAGAGGTGTGTGTGTGTGGGGGGGGCGGAGATGAACCACGCGCGAGTGAAGCTGATGCCGAGGAGGAAAGACTGCTGCGCCAGATATATATAAAGAAAGCATAACTAACCCGACAGAGATGGGGGAGGGACGGGAGGGCCAAAGAATGTGCATATCGCTTAAAGGTCGACTGCTGTGTTCCGTGCGACGAGCAGCAACTTCGCGAGTCCGTACCTTCCAGGGTCAGCGACGTCTCCGCGATGTTGGTCGCCGCGACTACCTTCCGATAGCCGCGAGGTGTGCTCCGAAACACCGCCTGCTGCTGGGCGCCAGGCAAGCCTGGTTAGGAACAAACGGCGATGATGGCGGCGGCAATGCAGCAGTGGCGCAGAGGGCAGCAGTAGCCGTGGGGTTAACGGCAGCGGCGGCAGATGTACCAGCAGCAACGTTGGTAGCAGCCGCGGCGGCAAAACAAGCGTGAGTGTTAGCTAAGACGCAGAACAGAGTCACTTGCTTCGACTCCGGTCAGACATCGCACCAGCACCAGCACCAGCACCCACACCCGCATTCCCTGCTCAGTAACCACCATTGAGTAGGACCCCAGGAACGGACACGTCCTCTCCAGCCAGCTCCACACCAGCCAGCTCCATAAACCAAGTGCCCTTCCCTTCCCTTCCCTTCCCTTCCCTTCCCTCCCCTCCTTTCCCCGCTCTTTCACCCACACTCTGCACCTACCCGCATACAGGGGTAGAGGCATCAGTTTGAGGCTGTAGCCCCGACTGCCCGCCAGCCTCCTCGCGTGTTCCTCTAGCAGCCCAATAGCAGCCTGGATCTCCTCCTGAGGGTATGATGACAATATATAGGGGGGAGGAGATGAGGTGGAAAAGGTGGAAAAGGTCCGGGAACTCCCACGCACCCGGTCGCACATTATTCATATTCGAATTCCTGTGAGGAATGGCGTTGCCGTCCAGCTAAGGTGATGTGCACCAGCAGCCCGCATATGGCGACGGCGATGCGGTCACGGCTAGGAAGCAAGTAGCGGCTGAACACATCCATGCATGCATACCATACATACCATACCCACCATACATACCATACATACATACATACATACATACATACATACATACCATACATACAAAAGGTGACGGGGGGCGTTCCTCCCTTTTCCCTCGCGGGTAGGAGGGTTTCAGGATGATGGCTACCCAAAGAGGCAACGACGGATACGGAGACGGATACAGTCAGACCCTCCCGTCTCTCTCACACCTGCCCCGTCAGGAAGATGAGGATGTCGCCCGGCAGGTCCTCGCAATGGATGGCCACCGCCGCCTCCACCGCTGCCCTCGTGTAATCAGGTGCAGGGTGCTCCAGATAGTGAACCTAGGGCGTGGGGTGGGGTAAAGGAGGGTTGGGAATAGCATCCAATCCGTGTAAAAGACAGAGACAAAGCAAGCGCCCACGTCCAGAATAGCAGCTGCCGGCGTCCAGCGCAGAGATGTAACTGCTCATTGAAGGGGGGGCCTGGAGAGGAAGATTGACCAGGAGAGCTCAGGAAGAGACAGAACAGAAAATGGACGGGGGGGAGTTGGACGGGGGGATAGGAGCGGTTGATCGCATGGATGGATGGATGGATAGAAACCCGCGTATGGACGAGCATGGGGTGTAGGTAACCGCCTGTGGGTCAGCAAGCAGGAACAGGAAACTTCCGAGGCCCATTCGCGGACACAACCTCCCACCTGTACGGGATGAGTGCGACCTTCAACCGTAATAACTGCCGGCGTACGGTGCGGATCGCGTGGTGGTGATGGCGCCGCTGTGCCGCCGCTCGATGTGGCAGCAGCAGCAGCAGCAGCAGCGGCGGCTGCCGCTGCCGCCGCCGCCACCCGCCGCTGCGCGGCTGTCGTAGCTGTTCCTGTGTCGAAAAAGTCCTTCAGCTTCGTCGCTTCCAGCGTGGCAGATGAAATGATGACGCGCAGATCAGGACGCCGTCGTTGAACCTGGGCGGAATTGGCGAGGTCATAGGTTCAAATCCTGGCAACTCCCGTTTAAAATCGAAAACACGACGGAAACTGTGCGACCTTGGGGTTTGGAGCCGGGAATCGGAGAAGTAGGCAAGCTGAGTGAGGACAGCGAGGAAGTATCAACAGTACGGGGGGCCAAAGGGGAAAATTGGTGAAGGGGAAAGCTCCAGGGAGGGTGTTAGGTAAGCGCGTTTCGAAAGGTCAAAATAAGCAGTCCTGCCAGTAAAAAGCAGGAACAAAATCAGCACAGCATGCACCTATAATCCTAACTGATAAACAGGGCAAAAAAGTTTGAACAAATCAAATACGAACACATGGAGCATACCTTCTCCACTAACCTTTTTTAGCAGCCCGAGCAGCATGTCAGTCGACAAGCTGCGCTCGTGCGCTTCGTCCACAATGATGACGCTGCACACGGTACGGCATGGCAAATGTGACGAGAGCGTCCGGCAGGGTCTTCTGGAAGTAGTGCGTGCGTCAGACAGAAGAGACTTGTACGACTTCCATGTTGTACCTGTACGACGTGAGAAGTGGGTCGTCCAGCATCTCCCTAAGCAGCACTCCGTCGGTCAGGTACTTGATACGTGTGCGGCCCTGAGGGACGGGGTGGAGCACGAATCCTAGGTTTCCACCTTTCGAGGTTATGTTGGGCCACCGCGACTCCTACGCGTTGCGTGTGTAAGCGTGACACCTCTTTGAGTTGGGTTACCCTTCAACCGTGCATTGTAACGGGCCCAAAGTTCCGTTAGGAGTTAATTTTGAAATTTGAAATTTGAAATTCAGAGCGTCCAGGTTCCGAACAGAGGTAATTTCGGTCATTAGGGACCCGCAACCTGACGGGGCCTTAAGCCGAATTTCGGCTGCGGGTACTGTGGTACTGCGGACCCGCAGTACTCGCTGGATTTGCCGATCTCTGGTTCCGACGCGCGACACCAGGTCCGGATTTTAAAAGCCAAATTGAGAGAAGCTCAAAACCAGAAGACGATTTGGGGGACGGCCTGTTACGTCCCTGACGATAATCGATGATGAGGCTATGGAGCCACAACCGCATTCGGGGAGAGCGCGAATCCATGCTGGCGTAAAAGAAACACAGCAGAGCGCACCCCTCACTTTCTAAGATCATTTGCCCTCCCGGTTTGGATTGAGAAACCGGAGATATATGATGATGGCATGACGTAATGATGGGAATGACGGGTGTGGGTGTGTCTACCTTTCGCCCTTCCTTCCTCTTGCGCCGCTGCCTTCCTTATCGTCCTTACCGCAGTCAATGCATTGTCGAAGCGTACGGCATATCCAACTGTCGTACCCAAGTCGCAGCCCATCTCCTCCGCCACACGCGCCGCAATCGTCGTGGCAGCAACACGGCGAGGCTGCGTGACTGCAATGCAGAAGCCGTTCTCCGCCCAGCCGGCCTCAAATAGAAATTGCGGTACCTGCGTAGTTTTTCCGCTGCCCGTTTCGCCGACGATAATTGTTGTGGCGTGATTCTCCACAAGATACAAGATCTGTCGCCGGTATCGCGACACGGGAAGGGAGGAGTCTCCATAGCGATACGTTGGGTTCATCGGAGGCAGGTCCGGCCCTCGCATGCCCTCAGGCAGTAGCCCCGGTGGTCCAAAGCCTCCATCGTCATCGTCGCTGCTGCTGGGGCTGGGCCGCTGGTCAGCTGCAACATGGTGTTGGCGCTTTCCGGCAGGCGCATTCGATGCCAACCGGCCGTCTCTCTGCCGCTGGCCGCCACGCTGCGAGGGCCTGTCAAACTTGAGCCCAAACACAGAGCCTGCTTGACTGCCAGGCCTTAAAAAGCCAGTGCCTGTTGCTTCCATTTCGGACCCTCACTTGGGAGGGAAGACGTCACGATAATGATTGCCCATTCCTATTACATACTCCACTATTTAAAACAAGGTAATCAGCACCTCTTTTAATCAAAATGTTGACTTTCAACGATTATAGCGGTTGTCATACTAAGTGCTGTTCACGGATGACCGGCCCTATTTGCCTATTACTAGGAGGAGGCGATTTCCATGATGGAGTAGTATTTTGAAAATCTGTTTGCATGATTTTGAAGGGTTTATAATTCTATAATATTGCAGTGCATTCGGTCCTGCAGGCGGGCCGTATTCTTGCAGTTCTGTGACGCGGCCTGTGGTCAAACATGAAGCACCCGAGCATGCCGCATGTAGCAAAACTGCATTGGATTTGAGGTCTACATAATCCTGGGTAATATTAAAATTATTTTGGTGCAACGGCCAACGTCTTTTTATGAAATGCGTTCGGACCGCGGGAAGTTGCGAGGCCCGCAGCTGAACTTTGTTGAACGCGGCATGGAAACAAGATATTGTTGTTACAAAGGCACTGCAATTTCGCTCTGTGACCCGACCAACGGTATTCGCACGTGCGTGTGCGTGTGCGTGTGCAGCCGCGTGCCAGAGCGCGAGTAGGGCCCCTCACGTTCGACCTGCTCCTTATACCCATGACACCCCCCACAAAACGTCTTGGGGGACGTGCTCACGATCATCACCATATAACCGTATATCAAAAAACTTACTGCTGTTAGCAAATGCTGAACAGAAACCCAGCACCGTACATCTGCGGTGACACAGCACCCCAACTCAAAGCGAAGCAAGGAAGAACATTGTATTGTGTAGCACAGCAAAGCCAACAGATTTGGACGGCATCTGTACGGAGATGTTATCTGGTCCGTTGCATCTGCTGTGCAAGAGAGCGCCTGCAAAACATGCCGCACCTGCGGAGCACACAAGG